CTTATAGCCGCAATATGAATCTTCTCCTGTGACAATAAGCTTTCAAAAGCTGTTAATTTTGGTTTAATACTCTGTGCGTTCCACTGAATAATGTTCAAAGGTATTGACTGATTATGTCTAGCCATTAAAGTAATCTAATAAGTTTTTCAAGATCGGCCAATCGGAGATATTTTCTACTACGACTAACATTAACCACTCTATACAACTTTTCACTATATTTTGTATTTTAATATGTAACGATTGGTTTTTCAAAAATAATATATTTTTTAATCTAGTTAAAAGTTCTTCAAATGTTACTTCTCTCTCTTTCACTGATGTTATTGGGGGTGAAGATGATGCAGAGTTGTTATTGAATTTGTCCTGAGTATCGCTTCCTTGTGGGAACGGCGTAGATGGACGAGCTTCTTTGTGCCTAAGCAGAGTGGTCTTCTTTCTAATAGGTTTAGGTTTTAGAACAGAAGCATAAGTTTGACTCCTTTTGTTAGAGGGCTCTTCATCTTCATACTCAATCATGCAATGAGACGAACCATCTATATTTTCAACAAAAATAACTGGTTCTATTGTTGGAATAGGTGAAGTTGGAGGTACGTAAATAGTAAGTGCCCTTTTATATGTACAATTAAATTCAGCCATCAACTGTCTAATATTTTTTTCTTTAATAAACTTAGGACACGTTCTGTCTAAGGCCATATGAGGTCCCGAACAGTTAATGCATTTAAATGTTTTCGTCTCACAATTAGGGTGATTATTACCACATTTAGGGCAAACAATTTTTTTTGCAGGACAGTATTTGAATATATGCCCGTATTTCCAGCATTTTGAACACTGGGAAACTGGGAAGACGTATTTTTCAACCTTTATACTTAGATTATTAACCAAAATATAAGTGGGTATAAATGAGCCCTTGAAACATAAGCGTATAGTTTCACAATCACTCCATCCTCCTTTGTCTGTATTGCGACGCATTAGACGTTTTACCGATATAAGCACTGCCGGGCTAGGGCAAGAAATAGCACTTAAAATCTCTTCTTCAGAAATATTGACCTCAATATCCCTAATGATGCCATACGATATATGTTTTTCTGTAGACTTCTGTACCCTCCAACCCTTCTCTAATAAAGTTTCACAAGTTACCAACTTATTTGCCTGTATTTCATTGGCACAGTCTATTCGGACTTTAAATGGGTTGATATATTTTACCCTAGCAACATCTGTAACGTGGAGTTCGTCTAATATCTTTGCGAATGCAAACTGTTTAGGTAACTTTTCATTACTTGAAATGTATAATTGAATACTACCCTCCTTTAATTTTTTTTCTTTAGACCCAACTACAGTCCATTCTTCTTCTTCTCGTTGTCTTTTTGCCGATTTAATTTGTGTGTCTTCATCCATTTTATCTGTTTGTGTACATTCAACTAATCTTCTTTCGTCTATTTCCGCAATTTCATTGTCCAATAAGGACTCATTAAAAATTGTGTTATCATCTACATTTGTTGCATTTAGTTGCTTATTCATTTACAGGTAAACAAATAGAAATGTTCATAATTACGATTGAGCAGGTTGAATTCCACTGTGATGACTCACTAACACTATCGTAAACAACTATTAAGAATGCGCGTATAACACAGCTAACCCGTACGAGCGCCGCACTACGTATCTGTTTATAATTTTACTAATATGCACTTCAGAGGTTTTCAGTAAATTTAAAATAACCCTGAATAATGGTTATTAGGTAGCTATGAAAAACTATTGAATTCTGTTCAGATTACTTTTTATTTCTTAAAACAAATATTTGGCACCTTTGTATTGCAATCATTTATCGTACTACACTAAATCAACTTTGCAGCAGAATTGAGGCCCTGCCTGCCTCAATTCTGCTATTTTATGTTTACGCCAAGCCAGTGTCATACCACTGACACGCTATTGAAATACCATCGAGTAGCCATTGGCATCGGTATAAATATCGGTAGTTGAAAATATATTACGTTTTTTGAGGAAATGATTTATTTGTTTTTATTATAATAAATTATTAAAAGAAATAAATAAATTAAAATAACTTATCAAAAAAATTAAATTAAAAAAAGAAAGAAATAAATTAAAATAAATTATTAAAGAATAAAATATAAAAATTATAAATAAAGAACTAAATAAATTATTAAAATAAAAAAAATAAAATTAAAAATTATTTCCTCTTTAGGTGATGATGTTAAATGAAAGGTGGTACCTAATTATTACACTGTTTATTCACAACACACAGAGATGTTATACCTACAAATGATGCACAACAAGTGAACCTCGTCCTACGTGACAAAAGGCTTTTTATAACCGATGCGACCAAAGTGTGCGTCGCCTCGTTGCCTATGTATACCCCTACACATTCCTCCCCTTTTGAGAAAAAAAAAAACTGTCATACAACAAGAAAAGAGAAAAAAAAACATTAAAAGTAACCATCACAATAGAATTATATAAATAGGGACATATCATTTCAACAATAGGGATACATGATACATCATTTAGCAAAGTTGCAAAACAGTAAGTACTGAAAATAATTGTTATGAGAACGATAAAATGCTGAGTATTGTGCAGGTGCACAGATACTGTATAGTATTACTTATATTCTATGTAAAACTATCAGCGTGGAAATAAAATGTCCAGCGCTAGTTGCCATGTCACGGGAATTGCTATACTAAACATATCATATTATACTGCATAATACACACGACAAAATATGTATACGATAAGTTTGTTTACACAATATCAAAAACCTGACAATATTACACAATATATGTTCACACATAGGGAACAGTAGCAGGTTGTTGAGCGGCTTTGTCCACCTGGCTCAACGACACTGCGGAGATGAGCTCCTTACGAGCCCACTTCTTTGCCCCAATATGACACCTTTTGAACACAAACCATACTGCAACGATAAATATAATCGCTAGTGAACTTGCCATAACAAGTCCGTATAATTCAATCCTTTGCTCCAAAGAACTGTTACTTGCGCTATTTGCACCATTTTGGGCGATTACAATCTCCTCCTGTTTACTGTATGCTTTACCCATTTTTTATTTTATTTTCTTAAATAAACAAATAATAGATTGACTCTGTTACGTAGATGTAGATGTAAATCTAATGTATATTGTACAGTAAAATGTAAATAGTGAAGAAAAAAATGTTACAATTTATAGAATAATTTCTGCTTACAGTCTAAAATTCGTAATTCTAAATAAAGGTGTGACTACAGTGCTACACGATGTGACGCTATGCTACGTTATTCATCGTTTAACACTACTTGCTATCTTTATAGTACAGAGGATCAAATCTCTTAGCATTACTGTCGCATGCACTGGGTGAAACCTTAATCATTAAACCTTACTGGGCGTTTAATTATACGACCGGAGCGAGTTGTGTCAATGTTAGAAGGCACGGTTGCGGGTTCGATTCCCGCCTGATTACGAGGCACTATATTATCTGAACTTTCTGTACCAACATCGACATGAACCGATCCGTTATCTGTTATAATATACGCAGGTTTAAGTCTGTCAATAGAAATGCTGACTGCCCTACCAGGCAACTGTATGACGTACACCTTTGCCCTCCTTTTTAAAACGCGGTATGGGCCGTCGTAAGGGGGTTTCAAAGGTCTACGTACAGTGTCGTCGCGAACGAACACATATTCAACCTTAGAGAGGTCTGGATGGACAAAACATGGACGTGAGTTATTATGTGATTTAGGAACGGGTTTCAATGATCCCGATTGAATGATCCCGATTGAATGATCACGTCGGGGTCACCACTTTAGGTGATGATGTTAAATGAAAGGTGGTACCTAATTATTACACTGTTTATTCACAACACACAGAGATGTTATACCTACAAATGATGCACAACAAGTGAACCTCGTCCTACGTGACAAAAGGCTTTTTATAACCGATGCGACCAAAGTGTGCGTCGCCTCGTTGCCTATGTATACCCCTACACCTCAAAAAACCGTAATATTTTTCAAATTATAAGGAAATAACTTATTTATTTAATTTTTTTTAAATTTTTATTTTCTTATTTTAATAAATTATTTATATATTTTTTTTTATAATTTTATTTTTTTAATCATTTATTTAATTTATCTATTTATTTTAATAATTTATTTACTTCTTTTTTTATAATTTTTATATTTTATTCTTTAATATTTTTATTTTTATTTATTTATTTCTTTTTTTTTTAATTTTATTTTTTTATACCGATACCAATGGCCACTCGATGGCACCTCAATAGCGTGTCAGTGGTATGACACTGGCTTGGCGTAATAGCAGAATTGAGGTCCAGGTCGTAGGTACTGAAAGAGCTATCTTTATAATCAATCAAACATCTTTGTATTAGCTTATTAAAATAATGAAATATTTAAATATCAACGGCAAAGCGTCAAGTGGCGACAACAATCAAGGTCACGGGCACCGATTGAGTAAGAAACTTAAGATCCGTATCCGTATCCGCGGATCTGGACACCAAATATCCGTATTCGAATCCGTATCCGCGGATATACTTTGTTAACGATCCGGCACATCACTAGTACTGACCTAATTTTGACTGACTCATATAAAACTCTTCTTAAATGACTCATATATGATGCCTTACGTACATCATGACCGGGCAGGACGGCATTCTGACATCGGAGATTGACATAATTGTGTTCACTCAATGGGTTCTTTTGCTAAAGCAGTTTCTGTTTTGTTGTACTGAGAAGGACAGAAACAAGATATGATTTTAAGATCATTTACTAGTGTTTATTTTTTTTTTACTTTTTTAAGTAGATTAATTCTGATTACATAGAACAAAAGAATCAAAAACAAATTGGCAACACTTAAAACAGCTGTGTTTTCCAAACCGAGTCTGGCAGTAGCTGTCAAAATTAATGTCTGTTTTGAAGCTAAGTACCTAACGAGATCAGCTTTAAATGAAAAGATATTAGTATAAAATTCTGTACGTATATAATTTGTGGTATAATGTACCAGGTAAACAAAATTTTTTTAAAGCAAATTTTGGCTAGACAATATAAGTACAAAGTGCCTCATGTAAAACAGTTAAAAATTCTATATCCTCTCGAATCTCGAAAATTACTCAAAGTCAGCGGTAATGATGCACCACCATTCTTACAAGGTCTTATTACAAATGATATGCAACACTTCGAAGAAGGTGCAAACTCTATGTATGCCATGTTTCTCAACAATAAGGGTAGGGTTTTATATGATACCCTAATACACAAATGGGACGGCAACGACTCATTTTTTATTGAATGTGATAAAAATGTACACACATTGCTGCATAAACACCTAAAATTATATAAGTTGAAACGAAATGTTGATATTGGAGATGTAAGTGAAGAATTTCGATTATATGCATTGGTGACTCCAACAGAAGCAACTGTTGACACCTCAATTCATCCAAAAAAGAATGTTAATATCTTTAAGGATCCTCGTCTCGCAGATTTAGGACACAGAGTTGTAGTTACTTCAAAAGCTGACCATTCATATATAGAGAATCTTCTTGGAGAAGGTACCACAATAGCCTCTGATGAAACTGGTTATAAATATTTGAGACACAGATTAGGTGTGAGTGAGGGCGCTGGTGATCTGCCCCCTGGAGTTTGTTTTCCTTTAGAAGCCAACGTTGATTACTTGCATGGGGTAAGTTTTCACAAGGGCTGTTATATAGGTCAAGAACTGACAGCTAGAGTGCACCATACAGGTGTAATAAGAAAAAGAATTATGCCTCTTCAATTCTTAGATATTGTTGAAGAAGAGATAGAAAAGGACTCTGCAATTACAGTTGATAATGAAAAAAATAATAATGTGGGGAAATTCAAGAGTTGTGTCAATGATTATGGATTAGGTTTAGTTAGAATAAAGGAAGCGCTAGAAGCTACAGCTTTAAAAATTGGCAATTATACACTGAAGGCTGTGAAGCCAGATTGGTGGCCAATAGAAGCACCTAAAGATAAGGCTACGACGAAATTGCAGTAATAAATCCAAAGTATATAAAAATTGATTAGGTAAATGCTATATCAGTCAGTAACAAGTTACTTATGATTGTTTACCTATTTGCAATTTTTGTTTTCAATTTAGCTAATTTAAACCTTAATAGCATTTAATTTGTTTCATTTTGTATAAACATTGAGTCACACAGTCAGCATAGAGTTGACTGCTAGTATGAACAAATTATAAAGCTTTTAATCTAAAATGAAAGTAATTTGCTTATGTTACTTTTAAAGTTATTTTTGCTACCTACTGTTGGACTTTGTTGAATAGTATATAATAGTATTTTTATATTATATTATTTTGTAAATAATTCATATTTATTAACATAAATCAAATGAGTATTTATTACTGATTCTTGATAGTAATGATATAACTGTGCAATGGTTTTTGTCAATACTTCCCTATATGCATATTGTTTCAGTGACAACATGGATGCACCGAAACCAAATGATAAGATTGAGCAAGTAATTTATGATTTTAAATGTTCTTCATGTGGCATTGATGAAAAAGCTCATTACAAAGGAACACATCCACCATTTTCACGGAACATAGTTCTGAAATACCCAAGTTACATAATGAAAGACCCTTTTAGTCCATCAGGAAAAGGAGAAATTTTAGTCATTGGTGCAGATTGTACAATTTGTGGGAAAGCTGTTTGTATAAACAAGGAATGTAGTTTATTTTATGTTAAAACTTTTTGTTTAATATGTGCCAATAATGCAATAGAAACATTTCCTATAGAAATTAAAAGTAAATTAGTAAAATTAAAAAAGATATAAGTACCTATATTTTGTGTGTACATTGTAATTGGCTAAAGAACAAAAAATCCTAATATTGTTTAGAATGTCATTGTGTCATTTCTAGGAAATAATAATATTGTAAAACTGAAATACATGTAAAAAAATAAAAATATGTTTCTAATAAATACCTATAACTAATCCAGACATTTTTTTTAAATAATTTTTAACAAACATTTGCTGTTGGTTTTCACAGGCTCCACAACTTACTATGGGGCCAAAAATTGTTTTTTTGCCACCCACCCCTGCCCTCTTGTCATTTGTGAGACTTTCACTAAGGTGGTAAAATAATCAGCCCAAATATTTTGACAATGGTCTGATCTGTTCTCCTTTTTTTGTGTCTTGCGCATTACGATATTTGTAAATAATTTCACAGTCTGAAAAAAAAACACGTGACTCGGCAAACTCTTGATTATAAAAGAGCTTGTGTTGTAATTTATTTGAGGAATATAAATGCAATAATGTGATGTCACAATGTAAAACATGCAAACTTTTCTCTACGTTCTGCGATATAACCACTTTCTCAGTGCTGATTTATTGGACTTTCAAACTCGATCAAATAATTAACGAAGCAAATATTACTAATGATTTACCTAAAATAAAGGAAGGTCACACAGAAACGGACACGAAGAAATCCCAGACTTAGAACAACAACTTGTTGATCACACAGTCAGAGGCGGATTAAGTATCAAGAGCGCCCTAGGCCAACATCTCGTCGGCGCCCCTCCCTCTTTGTCTCTATCGCCCATACTATATTATTAATAGTTGATGTGACTAAATATGTGATAGTGATAACTCCTAGTTGGCATATCTTTACTACAACTTTTTATTTTATTTTTTACGTGTGGAATTCCCTATGGGCTGTCACCCATCGGGGTTTGCGGTGGAGCGGTGTATCGGGATCGAACCGACTAAAACCACATGGTGGGCAAAGTACCTCTGAAATAGGAGGGGTGCGAAAACAGCTTTTATTCAGACGTCCATACCTTTTTTGGTGACAGATGGCCTCAGTGTGATAGCGTGATCCCCCAGGCCTGCACTTATGCAGAATGGAGGTCATCTTAGTTCTAAGCCTCTTTAGGTCCGACCTCTCTCTATCGAGCATAACTTGCTTACAGAAGAAGGAAGAGTTCCGCGCGCTTTCGCTCCGTACCATGGCCGCAATCATGTTACCGAGCTAGAGAATCCCTACTCCGATTGCCGTCACGAGACCATGCTTCTGCTCCATTCACGCTCTAGTAGCGTGTGAAGCGCCATGCCCATGCACCCAGGCGTTGGTTCCTTGCGTATCAGACACAGGTGATCTCTGGCGTCAGCCGATATGAGAGGGTCTTGTGTTTCCTCTCGAGCCAATCCTCCATAGTGGGTAGTACCACCGATATAATGGTGTGAACATCGTTTGGTTACCCAAGTTTTTCCTTCCACTCTAACGAGGACCCCGCGGGGTTGAGATTTCTGGTTCTCGATTTCTCGAGACCTAGGATTAGTATAGCTCTGAATTTCACCGCCCGCAGAGCCTGCGTATTCTAGTTCTGCCATAGCATTCCGGCCTCGTGATCCGGCGTGGCCTCTTCACCATTCTGACCAACACCCGTGCTGCCACCCTGCCCACTCGACGATGACCGATGATAAAATCCCACGGGAGAGCTTCAATCTTCGTAGCTATCAGAAGTAGTGATAATTTCGTCACGTTAACCCCTAGGCACGTGCCTACTTTGCTTTAGAGATAATCCGCCACTGAACACAATGTTATCCCATGTGGGGATCGAATCCTCAACACTCAGTACAGTAGGAAGCGGCGAGGTGGCCGCTTAAACTACTACGCAATCCATGCAGTCATTTTTATTGACACTAGACATGGGACAAAATCACAGTGAACTGTGATTTATCATTCGATTTTTGCGTACGTAGGTTAGGGTTGCTAGGTAGGCAGGTTAGGCTAGTTAACAGAATCTAGTATTTTTAAAATTATTATGTGAGAAATGGTAGCTATATATAATAAAATTATTACGAGGTTTACTGTTAAATATGCGAAAGAGGTCTTTATGCATCGTTTGAAACTTATTGGCAACAACGTGTAAGTAGTAACCCCAACCTACGTACGAAAAAATAGAAGAATAAATCACCGTTCATTCACAGTTCACTGTGATCTTGTCCCATGTCTAATTGACGCTGAAGAGACCTTGCTTCAAGAGCGGGTTGCGCGGGGTCATGTTTGCTCGTCGCGTCGTCCAAATTAGAGGTGGTGGTAGGCCCTGACTACTCAATATTCTCCAGAGTAGAAAATATATATTGAGTTGAATTTTCAGTATATTTTGAAATTGTATTTTTTTTAAATACGTGATATTTTATGGAAAACGTTTGCCTCAAAAACCCTGTATACAAGATCATATTCCGCCTAATAGTATCGATCGATTTAATACAGATCTAAGTCACCGGTGGTTACCATTTGTGTAAATAATTTTATTGACAAATTAATCTCATCGATTCAACTGAGATTTACTACTAATAGCACATACTAATAGCCTTCCGACGACCAGTTCACTAAGTAGGTATCAAATAAAAAACCGTTTTATAAAATACTGTTTACTTTGGCTTTACAGTCCGATTTACAGTATTTTTTATTAATTTTCACAAATTGTATTCAATAACACAGTTATATTCGACTGAAACTCTAATTTCAGTAACACATATAATATAATACACAAAATTCCAAGCCAAAACGAAATGTAGTACAACGTGACCACAACAAGTAGGTACCACAAAACGTTTGCGATCTTTTTACATCACAACTCGTAATAAACAAATTTTAATCTTAAAATTAATGAAGATAATTACAGCATAGTTATATTAAGTTGTATATATTAATAAGCTCTAAATCAGGGCAAACTTAAATACATGTTTTGTCTTATGTTCCAGTCACTCCGATCAAATAGATAGCACCACTTTACTTTCATAACCCCAATACAAAACTTTTCCAGTGACTGCCACTCCACAACACGGCATTGTAACTCAGAGCGTTGAAAATTGATCAACTGTAACGCATTATGTAGGTACACTCATAAAATACAAATTATTATAAAAATCGGGATACATGTGGAATATTGATCAATTCTTATTATGTTTATTTTCATTGCTTCTTTCGTCAGCGACTATAATGATAATGATCTACACGATAACGATCCATGCAACTATTTGTAGCTACGGGAGTGGTATAGATACAAAAAAGGACTGTCCTTGTCATGCCTTGAGTTGAGTGAGTTGAACTGGGATGTCCTTTACACGTACATGTGTCACACTTCGTTAATAAAATTGTTAGATGTAGCTGCGAAACAGCGACCGACATGCGCAGTGAGCTTTTTGTTTCAATACACCACCACCTACAGCTGGGTGGCGGTTGTGTAAATTCCAACGGAACAATATTAGAAAGATTACATTAACATACATCATATTGGTGATTTACGTACAACATTTATCATTTAAACATTCTAAACGACATCTAATTTGTGATGGACTATATCATAAATAGGTCATGCTAAAGTTCACTATAAAGATATAAAATGGACAGGTTTCTTTGAACAATCTGTAGGTTAAAATATTATTTTGTACAAATAATATGGGTCACGTGGTTACACAATGTGAGACTGTATTATTTGTGGTGAGTGGTGTGTAGTTATATATAATTCAAGTTACATCGATTAAAATACCTACGAGTGATAAAGATCGTGTTTGGTTAAAAAATTTAGAGTACAATTTGAAAAAGAAAATATACAGAGGCTATAAATAAAAGACTCATCGTATATCGATAAACCTTTCGTCTATCAAATTAAACTGGCCTAAATTTTTTAATCTGCTAAAAAGATAAAAAAAAGTACGCGCCTTGGACGGGTGATTTTTGACCATGTTATTTAGCATTTTCATACTTAGACACTAGAAGCGGGGTGGGGTACACATGTTTGACTAATTAGATTATAACATTTAAGATAAATTAACAAAACGCTCACAGCCTAAATATACATTATTATAATTTTGAAATACTATATTAATTTTGCGACAGTTACACACACATAAATACTATAACAGTAAGATGCTACGAAAAATGCACACCAGTTAAGAGTACAGATCAACCCCAACACGATAATGGCCACAGCCGCGACCACCAAATGGCGCCGAGTGTGCTTTATTTTTAAATGTTGGGCTTGATCTGGCATCGAAAGCTTTAGAAGTGGGCGTAAAAGATATCTACGAGTTTAATGACACATAGCTTAAAAGATTTAAATACACAATTACTCCTTATATTAATGAGCATAGAATTCCTTAAGTTTATTATGATTCACGTATAGCTTATACATGTAGCATTATAATTATCGAATATTCAAAATTAGCTGTATACCGAACCTTTCCACAAAAAAGCTGCAATTGGAAATTAGTGACAATTAATTAAAACTGAAAAATTCCCGATTTAGGGTTAAATTAAAATAAAAGATTTCAAAGAATACAATATCTTAATCTTACTGTCAGGAAATATTAGGAGTTAGCAAATGTGACATTCGGCATTCGATGGTTTGTCAAGTTCATTTTTTAAACTAAAATAATCTTTAAGGTTTACGACTCCTTGCACACACATTCTAAAACTCTCAAAAAACTATTAAACATTTCAATTTTGTCACTAAAAAGGAATACGTTTTGAGATGCCATGAGATAACATGAGTCTTTGCAAAATTTAAAGTAAAAATATAATCAGGAATCCTAAAATTTTCTCCAAATCGAAGAGAAACAAAACCAACATTAATTCATTCTGTTGGGACCTCCGTCCCGGTACATTGAATTAATATTACTTAATTATTAATATTTTAAATTAATTAATGAGATATAGGTATTTAGAGAGTTAGGGTCTCTAACGACCTATTTCTCGTAACTTTCGTCCGCATACTTTGTAAATCAATGTTACTGATATAAAAAGTAGTCAATGTACTATTCCAGACTATAATTATTCATCTCGTGTCAAATTTCATCCAGATCCATACAGAGTCTGGCGGATTGAGTAACAAACATCCATCCAAACTTTCGCATTTATAAGATTAGTAAGATGTCAAATACCGATCGCGCTTTAACGGATCGCCTACATAGCGCATCCCCTACGTATAGGGGAACAAAAGGTTCCACTATATATAGGGAAATCTAGTTTAGTTGAAATAAATAAATAGCAATCTTAGTGTTTGTCCAAAAGCCGCCGACCCGCATTTAAGTAATAACTTTTTACAAATAATATAAAATAAAAACACACAACGTGATCTCTAGTTATCCTATGAAATTTTAGTACATGGAACGAATAGCTTGTGCAAGCTTCGTTGAAAGCAAAAAGCAAACTGAAGTAAAATGGTATCAAAGGGTCAGATTTAGTATATCAATTATATACCTTTATTAATTTACTGATTACATACAGCGTTTGCTGGAATAAACAATCGATCGTCTCCGTAAGTCGCAATAAGTAATACTATACCATATCTAAAGACTCCAAAAAAATATGCGCCAGTACATACCTATGAATTGTAAAACACGAATAAACATACGTAGATTGATTTCTCAGTTATACAAAAATATTTAAAAAAATATAAATACAGAAACACAACGAGCGGAGTGTGTGGCGGCTCTGTCCACTGTTGGAGGCGCCCACTAAAAGTGACTTACGGACTCGTCCAATTATTTATTTACACCCTCTTTACATTAAACTCGAAGAAACTTATTTACAACAGACATTGATTAATTATAAGTTGCCACTACAATAGGTATTTCATCATACTACGATTATGTCATTTAATTATAATAAGATAAAAATTAGAAACTATTGGAATTCGAGAACTTCGTTCCATTGAATTTAAAAGGACTTTTATATCTGCAATCTACTTTTTAGTGAATAATAAAATAGTACTTACGAAAACGAAAACCGGGCCTATCACCTTGTTGTCCAATTGGGGTTTTGCTTTTTTTTATGATTAATGTCCATATAACATACCTCTTCTTATTTATAATATCTATTTACGATAAGATTTTCTGAAGATAAAAGACTATGTCAACAGCGATATGAACATCGATTAGGTCATGAGAGAGCAGCTGTTGTAGTCTAGTTAGCATCAGCATCTGCGTCACAATTTATACGTTATTGTAAATATAGGCAGACGAGACACGATCACTTTTAATTAAGTTAATTACTTTTAAAGATTTGTGATGATAAGTTTGGAATGTTTTCTTAAGACATTGGCGAACTATTGTAGGACAATATCGAGACCGAAGGACCAAAGCATCAACACAAAGAAATTTGAAGTGAGCATACTGTGGAAAATAAAGATTGCAGTCTGTAGTTCATTGCTGCAAGCTCGTTATTATCCCACATACAGCCCGAATTTGCTTAAATTCCTATATATGAAATTCGTGTCCAATGTATACAAAGAAGTGATTGTATTATTTCCAATTCCTAACTAAGTATTAATCATATAATTTACTTACTGAAACCCAAGATCACAAATTTATATATATACAATAAACTTACACATAACATTAGAAAACAACTAAACATTCATGTTTTGTCAAAGAGACGAGAATTATAAATTAATATATATAGGACAGTCTAAGTGATATACTTTACGAATACACATCGTACACAGGTACTGTACCGTGCCATAGGGTCTTCGATGTTCTAAATACACAGGTCAACAGATCTTTAGTCGGAGGATTGCAAATTTAACGGACAACGTGTCTCACGAACGGATTCACATCTTTTAGTGATATCTCACGGACGACGATCGACGATCTCATACAGATTTGTTTAGTTTACGGCACTCAGGAGTAAAGCTGTACACGATCGTTCTATCGTCGAGCACACGCCGAACGAGTTATCGGCCCGCGGAGCACTACTGCAGATCGGGGAAGTACAGGCGCGTGAGCGCCAGCAGCAAGTTCGGCTAGGGGTCGGCCGGCTCGGCCGGGGACGGCGGCGTGGCGGGCTCACTCGCCTGCGTCTCCAGAGTCGCCAGCGCCATCGCCAGCTGCGAGCGGTGCACGGCGGCCGCGGCGCGCGGCGACATCGCCTCGTCCGAAGCCGAGGTCGTCACGTCGCCGATGTCGTCCATCGGCTCCTCGAGCTCGCTGCCGGACACGGAGCGCGCCCCCGTCACCGACACCGCGGCCGCGTCGCTCTCCGCCTCCGAGTCGTCATCTGCACAGAGACGGCGGTGAGTGCGCGAGCGGGCGGCGGCTGCGGCGCGCCGCGGGTACGTACCTGGCAGGTGCAGGCGCGCGTGCAGCGCGCGGGTGGCCCGCTGCAGCTCGCGCGCGCGCGCCGCCGAGGGAGGGGCGCGCGTGGACAGCAGCAGCAGCGCGCGCACGGCCGACAGCAGCGAGCGCAGCGGCGCGCGGGCCGCGGCGCCGGCCAGCTCCTCGGCCAGAGCCTCCGCCGCCGCCGTGGGCCCGCCGGGGGCCGCCACCGGCCCTCCCGCGCCCACCGCTCCGCCGCCCAGCTGCACAGTACGTATTCACATGAGAGCCATCGTATCGTCGTTGAGTCCTTCCGGATGCGATAGTTCACCGGGTCGAATACAGTTTATATACTGATTTCTGCCCTATTGCCCATCGAACCGGTCCATAAGTGTTACCCGACGATACGTCTCCTCGATACTGAAAGATACTGAGACCGAAACCACCCAACCACCTCACGTCGCGACGACACTTACCGATGACCGAATAATGATGACAAAACCGACCCGAAGCAATTACTCCTTGCTTCATTCAAATTTTGGGGTCGGTTCTCAATCAGGCGTCTCGCGATTATCTTCTTTCGTCCGAAAGGAGATAATCGAGAAACTGAAATTGAACTGAACTAATATATTGCTAAAAGCCGACCAACATAAGTCAGCAATTCCCAAACCGAGTAATTAAATATTTGCAGTAGCCGAGCGGATTGTGAGCAGTGTGTGAAGTGACCAGTAAAAAAACATACAGAAATGCTATTACAATTAAAATATATCAGTATACCATTAAAACATTACAGTAAACAAAATGCGAAGGATGTCGCTTGCGCTGACCATGTCAACTAACTTACATATTTGTACGCGTGAAGTGACATTAATGTAGGTTTTTTTAACTGAGATACCTAAAACACTTAAATTAAACATTAAAATTATAATAAAATATTGTAAAATCCTCATAGAGATTATACCTTAGGATAATAATGCTGCATGAATTGGTATATTACAGGATCTTCAAGCGACTCCCGATCGTCGAACAGTATAGCATCCACATATTCCGCCGCAACACTACACTCTAAAAGCATCTCCTCGAGCTTCGAGTCCGCCTAAAAATAATAAATTATAATCATTATTATAATTTCTTGCAGCGATCAAAAAAATTGATTTAAACTATGTGAGTATTTTTAAAGAAACCAAAAACTGTTATCTTTAATTATATTGATAAATTTTAAGAATGCAGCGCCTGGTAGATGGGTATTTTATGTATTTTATTTATTCTTGTAACGTTTAAAACGTAATAGACAGAAATCCATATTTATATTATAAATGTGAAAGTAAGTTTGTTAGTTTGTTTAACTCTCATGCCTAAAAAACTAAACAGATTTTAAAAATTAAATCATAACTTAAAAATTCACCAATGGAAAGCTAAATTATCAGTCAATAACATAGTACCGTGATAACAGACATAGTTACAAGCGGGCGGAGCCGCGCGCAAAAGCTAGTAAGTAATATAATTAATTCTTATTTATTATATAAGGATCACACCAGGTTTAAACCTATATTACCCTATTACAACTTACCGGCGACAAGGCAACCTCCATCCAGAATGCCGCGAAATAATTAAATCTGAGAGGTAAAGCTTCTAGTGCACAGAGGGCTGACAGTAGCACGAGCTGGTCTGACATACATCGCTGACTACGCGCCACCCGGCAGCATGTGTCTGACAAATAGAGAAATCGTTTTTTTTATTAGTACAGGATTTTCGTTGTATTTCATCAAAATTTTTAGTGGATTATGTACTTTGCGCATATTAACCATATAACTAATTCTATGATGTTAATTTCTTTTTTTTTCATTTAGATTTCAGTAGGTGTTTTTTTTAACTTTATTGAAAGATACAACTAAATTAGGTCTGACTTAAGTTTAATTTTATAATATGGTAATTTTACAAAAATACAGTAATAGTGAGTACACGAGAAGAGTTAAAGCGAATTACCAATTTTGATTGATTTTCTGACTCTAAAAATTAATGTTTATTAGTCTAATTTATTGTTCAATATATTTATATAATTCTATAGATAAAATAGTTATCGATTTTGTTTTTACACGTTAACGTGCTCGAGCAAAGGAATGTATATGAAAGAATGAGTGTAAACAGCCTGTCCAAGCATTTCATCTGTCGAGTTTCACTTTCGCTCGAATAAGTTAATAATAATAATAATAAAGCCTTTATTTCCGAAATAATTTCATGTTACATATTTTCGTGTCTTAGTAAAAAAAAAAAAAAGTATTTAAAAGGAGTTCATAAAAGAAAGTAAAACTTATAAACTAAAACTACACTTTCATTATAAGATGTCTCTTGGTTCGGTTTGCCTTACGGCAAAGGCCTCCTCCAAGTCTCTCCATTGCATTCTGTCTGCCGCTACTCTCATCCAAAGTGGTCCTAAGGTCATTTTTAGGTCATCCTCCCATCTTATTGCTTTACGACCTCGGCTCCTAGTGCCATCCCTTGGGTACCAGACTGTCACCTGTTTGCTCCACTTTTCCTTCTTGCAGCGGAGCATATGTCCAGTCCATCTCCATTTGAGTTGATCAATACGTGATAGTATGTCAGTTAGTTTTGTTTGGCGCCTGATGTCTTTGCTTGTAACTTTGTCTATTAGTTTCAAACCTAGCATACTTCTTTCCATGCTTCTCTGACATCTTGCTAATTTGTCCCTATGACGTTTCGTCAAAGCCCAGGTTTCACAGCCGTATGTAATGCATGGTAGGATACAGGTGTCAAAAGTCTTCTTCTTGATCTTCATGCCCAGTTCTTTGCTTTTCATGATTTCTTTCAATGCCCAATACTTTTTCCACCCAGTCGCAATTCTTTTGTCTATTTCTTTGGACATTTGGTCTGTTATCGATATTATCTGGCCTAGATACACGTATTCCTCTACATATTCAAGTTTCTGTCCGTTTATGGTTATGTCTATAGGTATTGAGTTGGTCATCATTTTAGTTTTGCTTGTGTTAGTTTCTAGTCCTACTTCTCTGCTTCTGTCTACTAGGGTTTGTATCATGGATTGCAGTGTCAGTGGGTCCTCTTCCAATATAACCAGGTCGTCTGCAAATCTTAGATGATTTAATCGTGCTCCGTTTATGTTTAGCCCCAGATGTCCCCATTCCATTTTTCTGAACATTTGTTCAAGCACTGCTGAAAAGAGCTTTGGTGAGAGTGGGTCACCTTGTCTGACGCCCCTATTAATTGGAAAAACATCCCCTGTAGATTCTAGCCTGATTCTAGCTTTGCTTTCACTGTAAATATTTATGATGATATTAATGTAAGCGTTTTGAATCCCCTGCTCTTTAAGACTTTGCCATACAGATTCATGTTTAAGGCTATCGAAAGCCTTGGAATAATCTATAATGGATAGTTTCCTATGTCGTCTTTTGGACATTTCTTGTGTAGAAGTATTATATGAGATTCTGCCCATTGGGTTGGAATGCTGCCGGTATATAGACTCTCGTTGAAGAGCTTTGTTAGTATTGGGCTTAGGTCTTTAATTGTCCCTCTCATGAGTTCGTTTGTGATTTTATCTGGACCGGAGGCTTTTTCCATTTTTTTACTTTTTATAGATTTTTCCACTTCCGATACTAATATTTCAGGTATAACTTCTGCGTCCTCCATCATACAGTTTTGTGTACTATTAGATTCTCTATCCGGCAATTGTATTTTTGGCTGATTTGGACTGTGTTCTTTGTACAGTAAGCGGTAGTAGTTAGTTGCTATATTTTGGATTTTCCTGCGGGAAGTGGATGACATATTTTTATCTGTTAACTTTGGTATCCATTCTTTTCCCTGTTCTCGGAGTTCCTTGAGCGCTTTCCTCGTGCCCCCCGTTCTGCTAATGTGATTCTCTAGGGTTTGGATTCTTCTATATTTCCTGTCCTTCCTCATGCTTTCGCGAATCTGTTTACTAAGGTTGTTGATTTCTTTTTGGTTTTCTTTCTTATCCTTTTCCATTTTTAGATTTCTTCTGTCTTCAATTAGTTTTAAATGATATGATGCTATGATGGGACTTTAGACTTTTGTTTATTTGTATTCTTGCCTGTTCCCTGAGTTTGTTTCCTATTATTTTATATTTTTTGTTTAGGTCCATGTCTGAGGTAACTACTTCCATTAGGTCTTCTGTGGTATCGTTTGGGTTACTCTTTTCTCTAATTGCTTGTAAGAAGTTCATTTGAATTGCTTTTGGTCTTGGTTTTTTTGTTGCATTTTCATTTAGACAGCTGCGTACCATACGATGATTAGTATTGAAGTTTAGGTTTTGTACTATTCCCGTATCACTAAAACACCTAACTTTATTGGTTATTATGTATTCAATTTCGTTTCTGGTCTTTCCATCTGGAGATATCCAAGTCCATATGTTTTTGGGCTTTTTGCGGAACATGGAATTTAGAAGTGTTAAGTTTTTCTCAAGCAGGAATTCTACCAACATCTCTCCGTTTTTGCTTCTTTTCCCACTTCCGTATTTCCCTATTATATGTTCTTCCCCAGCTAGTTTAGCATCGACTTGAGCATTGAAGTCACCCATGACTACTATATTGTTTGCCGAATATTTTTCAGTAACCTTACTTAGTTTATAGTAGAAATTGTTAATGTCCTTTTTTGATGCTTTTTCTGTCGGCGAGTAGACTTGGATTACTGTCCATTTTTTCGTAGGATTTTGTAAATTTATATGAATCGCGGCTATTCTATCTGATATCCCTTCAAATCCAATGATCTGGCTTTTGAGGTTTAGCTTTACCAAAAATCCTACTCCTCTTTGACCGGCGATTTCGTCTTTGTGATACATGATAAAGTTGCTTCTCTCTTCTATCCCTTCCCCCAACCTTCGCATCTCGCTTATGCCCAAAATGTCCCACTTGATGCTTTTAATAGCTAATTCTAACTCTTGCAAGCTTTCCGGTGTTCTCAAGGTTCGTGTGTTTAGCGTACATAGGTATAGACTATTTCCTTTTTGTATCGTTTATTTAGTACTGGATTCAGTTGGCTGATTTGTTGGAGGGTGGTGGTCGACTTCCCCCACGGTGACCGGCCGGCTTGGGGGGCGATTTATTAAAGTTTTTCTTGCTATGCTATGTGTTTTTGTGTCTATATTTTGGTTCCGGTTGGAGAGGGCCTTTACTTGTTTTTTGGCAGCTCTGACGTCGAGGCAGATCTTTCTCGTGCTACATATGAAAGGATGCTTGGTTTGATTACTTCCCTTGTTGCACTTTGGGATGTCTTTCCATTTGCAGTATTTTTCATGCTTAGTTTTTTCTGTGATGGAGTGGTTGGCGATCCTGAAAATTCTCTCTTCCTTTTTTCCCGGTAGGTGGTCCCTGGTTTTTTCACAATTAACTTGTCGTATTTTATGAACGCTATGTTTCCATTTTCTCTTTCTTCTTGCATTTTTGGTTGTAACTGTTTGCGTATTTCGAGAATCTCTTTGGGGAAGTCCTCTTTATATCAAAGAGGACTTCCCCAAATACATTTGCAGGAAGGTTACGCTTATTTTTCAAAATAAGATGTTTCTTCCAAGTTGTCGTTACAGATATTTTCACTGGACGATTTTTGTCAGATTGTGTTCCAATTCTTTTGATATAACTTATTTCTTGGCTATCTAAATGCGTTCCTGATTCCGCTATGATTTCTTTTACATAATCGACCAACTCTATTTCTGACTTTCCCTTTTCTTCGATGCCAAAAATAACCAAATTACTCATACGTTTTTCCTTTTCTAAGAAACTTATTTTTTTTTCCAAATTTGTGACTTTGGTTTTAAGGTTGTCATTTTCTTCTTTCAGCATTTTCCTCTTTTTATCTAAGGCTTCCATGACGTTTTTCGTTATTTCTGTTGTTAATATTGTTGTTTGTTCATTAAACTTTTCATTTATTTTGGAGAGTAAGATTTCAATTTGTTTTTCCATTTTGGTGTTGGGTAAATTTAGTGTTGTATGGTGGAAACACTTTTGTATAGTGGTAGAATTTTTCTATTGTTTCAGTGCAACACTTTCAGTGGTTGTCTATGACTGTCAATGTCACTGACAGTTTGATTGGTTTGGTTGGTACTACTTGCAATCTTAGTGTTATCAATTTTGAGGGTAGTAGGAGGTATAATAAATGAAGGATAACTTAATTGTTTGAGAATAATCACAATTTTAGGTAGTTGTTTCACTTTAAATTTTTCTTGAGCACTATTTTAGTTTGATTTCCCGAAAACTTAAATGTATTTTATGTTTATTTTGCCACTTTTTGCACTGGAAATTAATAATATTTGCAGAGCTCACTCTTGTACATGTTTACACTTTCGTCGCCTGAACCGGAATCCGAAATTAGTAATACTATTTACATATATTAAGAGTCTTCAATAGTCTACTGCCGGACATAAGTTTCTTCTTAGAAAGGAGGTTTTGGCTCACTTTGCCACGGTGGCCAGACGGGTTGGTATAGGGTATGTTTCAAGTTTTCATTTTTTTTAGTAATCTTACGATTATAATAAATTATTACAGTTCTTATGAAATTCAGCGTCGTATATGGCTTTGAAAAAATAGGTTTAATAAATTCAAGTGTTATTCCTTTATAAAGATAACTCACAAAAGCGAGATTAGATACTTAATAAAAGTTTCCATAGAACGTACGGTTCGAATATGGAATAAAGAGAAAGGTCTGAGTACACAGATGGGCAGTATATCGCTAGGCTCGTACCTATAAACTTGTGGTAGGGCCTGCAGGAGGCGGCTTGGCGCTGCGGGCTGTGGCGCTCGCCGCTGTCGCGCGCCGAGCCGCCGTGCACGTGCCGCTGGCGCGCCGCGCAGTGCGCGCCCGCCGCCAGCGGCACCAGCGCGCCCAGCGCCGCGCCGCCGCCCACCAGCACCACCTCGCGCAGCACGCCTGCTCCGCACCGATCGCATTAACCATACCGTCACCGATACCATCACGAGATCTCCTCCACGTTCTCACTTAGTAGTGTTTGAGCTTACTCAAACACCACTAAGTGTATGATAAATTGAGTAAAGAGGTACTGTTATAACTATTACATATTATTCATTTCTGATTGTTTAAATGAAATCTTTGAAAGGGGGTCGGTCAGCAACTATGGAATTCAGTATAACTACAAAAATCTTTGTGTCAAGAAATTACCGAAAACCTATGTTTGGTTTAACCTATTTTCAAAAATCGATGTAGGTGAGATCCAAGTAGCCAGATAAACGTCACATCACTTATCTCTAACAATGACTGCCAACCCAGTCACAGTGCACAGCGAACACATCAACGAATAAATGTATCTGTTTTACTAGTGTAGGATCGTATCACACAATCGCTTTTTAAAGTAAAATATGTATAGTGATAGGTATTCAGTCTTGGTTACGATATAAATGAGCAACAACGACGATGTCATATCATGTCAAATGTCAAATTATCTAGTTCTCTCATAAAATCAAGGAACAAAAACAAAACAACAAAAGGAAACTGAAGTAAAACGTACTAGAATCTATTAATGCGCTTGACTTTCCTCTTCGAAGTTATCAGATTAAATCTTATGAAATATAAACAGAAATTGTTAAAATTTTAAACTTGAGGCACAACTTCGATACCAAAAGTGGTGTTTTCCCTTTAAATAAAAGAGAGCGAGCTTTACAGTTGTCGCCATGATGTGTAACTTCTATAGTAAAAATTATCTAAGAATGCACTTCTTTTTAACAGGTGAACCTGACGTTGTGACTAAAGAACGCAAAACATAAAACAATTTTATTTTAAGTTAAACAATTTTTAAATTAGTAATTTATAGTACTGAGTTGAATTAATGTTATAGGACATATTTTAGCTACAATTTCTACACATAATTTAAACAATCGCGTGATTCTTTATTTCTGCGAGATGTCCTAAAACAGTTACGTCCTATGATAATTTAATTTTAGTGTTGTAACATTTTAATCGTACGCACGCGCTATTTGATTTGACCACTAGAGTAAAGCACGCTTCTCACTAGAGTAAAGATGTTACACATCAAAACATATTCGTGTGTCTGTATTTTAAGAAATCATAGTTTGCAAATAAAATAATGTGAAAACTTCGATGGTCGAAGCAAAACGTAAGAAGTAGCATGATATGAATTGAAGAAGTGAACTGACCGAGCGCAGCGTCCCTGAGATGGGTGTGTCGGTGCTGCAAGTTGAGCATAGTGAGGAGACGTCGCGCGCACTCGGGCCAGTCCTTGCAGGCCAGCAATAGCGCGCGCGCTTCCTTAGCATCGCGGCGCGTGCGCAGGGTACGGCACAACGCGCGCGCCCAGCGCAGCGCCGTCGTGAGCTCAGATCGTACCGACGCGCTGTTGGCGCCCCCACCGTTTCCACTGCTCCCAGCGCTCTCGATGTACACCGCGTGTAGGCTGTGTAAGGCCTGTGGTACACATTGGTTGGTTGGTTACAACAATATAGAAATGATCTTTGATTATTAAGGTTCATTTATATTCTACTACTGTAGTATTTAAATATACAAATACAATCACCATCGACAGCCTTTAACAGTCCACTGCTGGACATAGGCCTTTCCTTAGAAAGAATGTTTTGGCCAACTATACCACGTTGGCCAGACGAGTTGGTATAGGGTTTGTGCCAAGTTTTCCTTATTTTTGCAGTGCTATTGGCCTGCGCAGTTTGCTCCCTTAGTCGACTCTTTTGACACCTAAGGGGTGAATACGGTTGGACAGACACAAATACAACGGTATTATAACGTTTCTGATTAATTGTTCCAGAGATATCTAGTAAACTTTTTTTTTATTCTATTCTTATACAAATAAATATTATAAAAATAGAAATTTAAATCTTATAAAAATAACATTTAGATTTATAAAAATAATCATGTAAACATACAGTAATGCAATGTGTTATGTTATTTGTTGTTAGTTGGTTATTAAAAAAAACGAATTAGTACTGTACCTATTTACTGTGTAATAAAAACATATAAAAACCATAATGTTTGGTTTTCATAGGTACTACGTTTTTTAGTTTTTAAATATTGTGATATCAGGCGGTACAATTAATCAGTAACAGATCGCATGCTCAAATTGTCGCTATTAACCGAATCTTATTTCAGTTGAGACTTACTTCGAATGTCATCTGTAGCCCGCCGTTGTACACAACGAACAGTCTGTCGTCCTCGTTCTCCACCAGTGTGCAGAACGCCGATATTAACGTCGTCCAGCACGTTCTACCATTTAGACCTACAAGACATTACATTCAAGTATTTCTACAATGAAATTAGTTAGTTTGGTTTTGTAATAGATCCACAATTGAACCCAAAATTATATAAAGGTTACTTAAGGTATCCCTCAAAGGTTTTCTTCTAAAAAGTCATTCTAGAAGTTTTTAGGAGGTGGAGCAACTTCCTTCCTGCAGAAAATGTGATATATTAATGTTGTTTATCGACTATTCATATTAAAATTCGACTTTAATTGACTGATTGATCGAAACCTGATGAAAAAAAGATCAATCTGTTTAAAAAAATATAAAGTGTTACAAAAAGATATATTCACATTTTAGGGCCATAATGTAGTGTCAGAACCCGTTGAATAACGTAATACGTTAATAATTTGATACAATTTTAATTGTTTTACATGGATGGAATTTAGGTATGGTTTTTTTCAACATGCGTTTACTTCTGTTACATTATTTTTCTGTGTTCTTTACTTCTTTAAATCCTAAAAGAGAAAATATCTAATGTTTAACTTACGTTACTGTTGAGATATGTATTATGTAGGTAGATGTATCTACAGGTTTGCATTTTGTTATGATTATTTCTCACAAACAGTTGCAATACAGACCTTGTGAACTACACCCGCATTTTATTTATACGCTAACTAAAAGGCATATTAAACAGACAAGAATCAACCTTATTCTCAATACAACATGGTCCATTCCGAGCCGCATACAATTTAAAAGAACTAGTTGATCGAAGATAAGCTATCGTCGCCGAGAAGTTTTTTCTATATGAAGTTAGTTGGCGAATACAATAGACGACCGGCCGCTGTTATACAAATTGCAGTTATATGGTGTATTGTGCATTCCTGTGGTTACAATAACGAAGTGAACGTTTTAAACACATAATATTAACTTTCATTATGGAGTCCGTTGAACAACAATTGGAACTTTTAGAACATTTGTCAAATAGTATCGTAAAAACCAAAACAAACTTTAAAAAGTCACCTAAGTCAAGAATTACAATAGGTTATACAGAAGCAAGACTACAATGCTTAGAAGACTATTGGAATTCGTATCAAAATAGTTATCAAAGTTTATTGAAGAATACTAAGAAAGAACAAAGGAAAACAATTGACTATTTTACGCAAGATTTATACAGTCAGTGTGAAGAAACTTATATAGATTTAAAAGCAGATATTAAAGACACGCTTCGATTATTAAAGATAAATGTGGAGACGGTAGGAAACTCAGCACAAATTGCAGCATCATATACACAGAAGGAAAGTTCGAGCAGCGCAGAGGTCAAGCTTCCGAGAATCAATCTACCTACATTTTCGGGGATTTATGAGGAGTGGCAATCATTTGAAGATACATTTACGGCGTTAATATCAAACAACAAATTATTAAGTAATGTACAGAGGTTTCATTATTTGAAATCGTGTTTATCTGGCGAGGCAAAAAACACTATTAAGCATATTCAAGCGACAGAACAGAATTATGAGAAAGCTTGGGAGACTTTAAAAAATAGATATAGCCACAAGCGGCTTATAGTAAACGCGATATTAAAAAGGTTATTTACATTTAAAAAGGTTAACACCCAATCACCAGGTCATTTAAAGACACTGATTGACACTACTAAGGAGTGTTTGAATAGTTTAGAATCTATGAATATTTCAACATCTACTTGGGACCCTATGATCATTTACATTACTGTGCAAAAATTGGATTATGACACGCATAAAGATTGGGAATCCCATGTGAGTCGTGAGTATCAAACTGAACTACCTACTTTACAAAATATGATTACCTTCTTGGATAGTAGAATACACACATTAGAGTTAACCTGTTCGCCTTCTTCAAGCTCTCAAAAATCATTTAAGACTATAGAACGTTCGTGTCATTCGTCAGCCGTAAATATTATGTGTAAATTATGTAAAGGCCAGCATCTCCTCTGTCACTGTAAAGAATTTGTGAAACTTGATCCAGAGAAGAGAAGAAAAGTGAAGTCGTCAAGAGCAATCGATTATGCTACAATTGCTTGTCACCAGGCCATCCAGTGTATTATTGTAAGCAGAAGACTTCTTGTAAGATATGTGGAAAGCGACACCATTCACTTCTTCATCATGGTAAGAAGAGAGAAGATTTTCAGGATAAAGAGAAGAATGCAACAACACCTGAAATCTCAATGAACACGCTTAATGAACAACAAGAAAATCTTCGGGATGAGTCTATCATAGTGAACTTCGCACACAAGCAGAGAAGAGCGTTATTAGCAACAGCGTTGGTTCCGGCCCGGAGTAAGTGTGGCCGGGAGGCTACGCTAAGGGCACTAATCGATCCTGGCTCACAAGCGTCATTTATAAGCGAGAATGCATCTCAACTCATTAGACTAAAGAAAACTCCTGTCCAGTGCTCAATCACAGGAATTGGCAGCACCACAACTCCAGTGCGTTATGTGGTACAGTTGGAGATATCCTCACAGTATGACACTCAATTCAATCTCCCTCTGAAAGCATATGTTTTAAAATCACACATAACATCAAAGTTGCCCAGTTCCACAATAAAACCACAATCCGATTGGTCACACTTGGAAGGTCTAACACTAGCAGATCCACAATACTACATGTCAAACAGAATTGATCTATTGCTTGGTATTGATGTATATACTGAAATTATAAGAAACAATTTAATAAAAGGGGGACCAGGCTCACCGTCAGCCCAGGAGACAAGTTTGGGGTGGATTTTGTTTGGCAATATTTCTAAACATGAACACACGAATAAAGAATTAACAGTCATGCATCAACAAATAGATATAGATATGGATAGTCTATTAAAAAATTTGTGGAGCACAGATGAATCAGCCAAACGTACACTTACCTTTGATGAGCGCGTCTGTGAAGATATTTATAAAACCACACATAGTCGAGATTCAGATGGAAGGTATATTGTGAAATTGCCCTTTAAAATAACACCACAAGAAATAGGATCTACTAGAGACATAGCACTGAAGAGATTAGAACAATTAGAAAGACGATTAGAAAATAAACCTAAATTAAGAGAAGAGTATAGTAAGGTTATGGAAGAATACATACAGCTTAATCACATGGAGAAGGTCCCAAAGGAAGAGATAAATAAAGTGTCAATTTATCTACCACATCACGCCGTGGTACGAGATAGTGAAACCACGAAGGTGAGAATTGTCTTTGACGCGTCATGCCAAAGTTCAAAAGGAAATTCACTCAATGATTTACTATTAGTTGGACCTCAATTACAAAAGGATATACGAAACTTAATCATGAGATGGCGCTTAAAGAAGATTTGTTTTATAGCAGATATTCAAAAAATGTACCGTATGATATTAGTCACTAAAGAAGACACTGATTATCAACGATTATTATGGAGACAGAATCCTACTACAGAAGTTGATGACTATCGTGTGCTCAGAGTAACGTTTAGGACAGCCTCAGCACCCTATTTAGCAATCAGGACCCTGCAACAGCTATCGACGGATGAAATGAATAAGTATCCTATTGGGGCTAAAATATTAGCCGAAGAATTCTATGTCGACGATTGTATTAGTTCCCATGATACAGTAGAAGACGCGATAGAGGCTAGTCAAGAGTTAATAAAGATTTTAGAAAGTGGAGGATTTATATTACAAAAATGGGCATCGAATAGCAAAGAGTTTCTAAACACAATTCCACAGTCATTGAAAAGTATAAGTGTTGATGCACAAGAGAACTTTATTAAAACGTTGGGTCTAATATGGAACATGAAAACAGATACATTTCATTATCAAATAAAATTACCACCTAAATCAGCCTTAATAACAAAGAGAATTATTTTAGGAGACATACAACGTTTGTTCGACCCTCTGGGGTGGATATCACCAGCAACCGTCACTGCTAAGATTTTAATACAGAATATTTGGAAAGAGAGACTTGGTTGGGATGAAGAGGTTGGAAAATCGACTGAAGTAGAATGGAGTAAAATAGGAGACAACTTTAAACATTTACATCGAATAAAAATACAAAGATGGATGGGTAAAGAAGTCAATGACGAGATATATCTGCATGGGTATTGTGATGCCTCCAATAAAGCATATTGCGCAGTAGTTTACTATAGATTAAAAAAAGAGAATGGAGAAGTCAGAACAGGAATAATTGCATCACGGACTAAAGTAGCACCAGTTAAAGTAATTTCTCTTCCACGCCTCGAACTATGTGGGGTGGTACTGTTAGCAAGATTACTTACCCAAGTGAGAGAGGCTCTTAGACTACCAGAAAGCAACAGCTATGCCTGGACTGACTCCACCGTTGTTTTATCTTGGCTCTCAGGCGACCCTAATAGATGGAAACAATTTGTCAGCAATCGTGTAGTAGAGATATTGGACAACGTTCCCTGCTCAAGATGGTATCATGTCAGATCAAAAGACAATCCTGCCGATATAGGTTCTAGAGGTGTCTACGTAGGCAACCTAATAGACAATAAACTATGGTGGGAAGGACCAGAAAGCCTTAAAGAGAAGGATGTTAAATTTTCTAGATTTACAATTAACCCTACGGAGCTAGAAATAAAAAAAATACCAGTAAATTTTAAGACATTAAAAATGAAATTTGAAGATTTTAGTACATTACAAGAACTTTTAAAAACTGTTTATAGTTTGAGATTTCTGAGGTATAAAAAATGGTCTACAAAAATTAATATAACAATTACAACACTAGAAGTAGAGGAAGCATTAACAAAATGTATTAACATAGCACAAAGGGAAGAATTTGAAGGTGAATTAGAAAGTTTACAAAGAGGGAAAAATGTCAAGAAATGGAGTTGTTTGAAAACGTTAAATCCCTACCTAGACGAGAAAAATATTATCAGGGTGGGCGGCAGACTGCGCCACGCAAGCCTAAGCAATGATCAAAAGCATCCCATAATATTAGGCATGAACAATGAACTTTCACATCTGATTGTAGCAGAAGCTCATCGGAAGACATTACATGGAGGTATTCAGCTAATGCTTAGTTATATTAAATCAAGATACTGGATTATTCGAGTAAAGAATCTGGTAAAGAAATATATACACAAATGCATCGTATGTGCACGGCACCGAGCAATATCAAAAACGCAAATCATGGGTGACCTTCCAAAAGCTCGTATCACTCCTGCTCGTCCATTTAGCAATAGTGGTGTAGATTTTGCCGGTCCTTTGCAAATACTTACGTCAAAGGGCCGAGGTTCAAAAACTCGCAAGGCTTATATCGCCATATTCATTTGCATGACCACCAAGGCCATACATCTAGAGTTGGTTGGCGATCTAACTTCAGAAGCATTTATTGGAGCATTTAATCGATTTATTGCACGAAGAGGACGATGCACACATCTATGGAGCGATCATGGTCGTAATTTCGTAGGTGCTAATAAAGAGCTACAAGCAGCTTGGAAGGAAGCTAACTTGAACTTACCTGGTCATCTCGCAGATATTCTTGCATCAGACGGCACACAATGGCATTTTATTCCACCATATAGTCCAAACTTCGGCGGACTGTGGGAGGCCGCCGTGAAGTCCACCAAGTTCCACTTGAAAAGAATCCTAAGTACCAACCTAACGTATGAAGAATTATCGACAATATTGTGCCAAATAGAAGCCTGTTTGAACTCACGCCCGTTGACACCCGCCGATACTGCTGACACCGAATTAGAATATTAACTCCTGGACATTTCCTGATTGGAGAAGCCCCTGTCACTATACCAAACCCAAGTTTAAGAGACGCTCACATTAACTATCTATCGAGGTGGCAGCTTTGTCAGAGGATGGTAGCTAATTTCTGGCACCGTTGGCAAAATGAGTACCTGACACGTCTACAAACTCGACCAAAATGGATGAAGAAGCAAAAAGAGTACGACATTGGCGACATAGTTCTATTGAAAGAGGATCACCACCGGGAAAGTGGGCCCTGGGTCGCATTGTCGCTAAACATCCAGGAGAAGATGGTCTTACCAGAGTTTATAGTATTAAATATAGAAATAGTATCGTCCAAAGATCTTTGTCAAGAATTTGTGCATTGCCAATAGATAAAGATTAAAAGTTTTGTTAAGTTTTAATGTGTACTTTAGCACACTTATTTTATATATTCTGGTTACTATCATGTTATTAATTGAGTATATATTACTAAGTTGAATTTTGGACTATTTTTGTTAATACTTACTCAGAGTACCCAATTAAGAGTATCTTATTGTTCATTAGTTAGTTATTACTATTGTCTACAAGTTAACATAAGACATTCTACGTTCAATTATTTTTTTATTCATTTAAATTACTTACTGGCCACTATTGCATGATTTATAGATTTTTATAGTTTTACCTTTAACGTTATTCTTTAGTAAAGGACTACGTCCTTTGGTGGGCGGTATGTTGAGATATGTATTATGTAGGTAGATGTATCTACAGGTTTGCATTTTGTTATGATTATTTCTCACAAACAGTTGCAATACAGACCTTGTGAACTACACCCGCATTTTATTTATACGCTAACTAAAAGGCATATTAAACAGACAAGAATCAACCTTATTCTCAATACAACAGTTACAATCAAGTTAATGGTGTTATTTGTCACAGTGAGTGGGGACTACGTGCGTATACACAAAACTGTTAACCTTGTAAATAAGCGGAGAGTGTGCTCCTGCGGAAGGCGGCGGCTTCATTCGCCTCGGCGCTGTTAGCACCGGCGCTGGCGCCGTTACCGTTGCCGTTACCGCAGCCATTGACACTGTCGTTGCCGCTGCTCGTGCTGCTATTATTGCTACCGTTGTTGTCGCCGTTGTTGTCGCCGTTGCTATCGCCGTTGTAGCCGCCGTTGTTACCGCTGGTCGCCAGGATACGAGCCAACCTGAATATATTTATTTATCATTAACAATGACGAACAAATAAACAATAAGAACAAATTTTCTGTTTAAATAAATTTTATACATTTCTTTATTTGCTAACCAACAATGGAACGAAAAGTATTATTTGCAATAAATAACACTAAAATGTTGAAATTTAAGTTCAAAATAACACCACTCAGTTTTTATGCAATGCAACTGCCAACAAATAAACATAGAAGTATGGTATTCTTTTTTTATTTATATTTTTAGAAAATCAAGTCATCAAATTTCTTCGATTATTATAAAAGTTCATTTATATTCTACATTGCTATTTATATGAATGTTTCAAAACTGACCTGAGCAGCTCATCAGCAGCCCCCGGATAGAGGTGCGCATGAGGTGCGATGTTCCTGAATGCCCAGTGTATGTTCTGGTGCTGGGCAAGGTTGCGTGCAAACGCAGTCGAACGGCGGCAGAACATGCGCAGTAACGCGTAGTATGGAGGCAACATAGCGCGGTTATACGCCACTACTTCGCCGTCCTCGTGATCCGCACTACATACAACAAAATTTTAATTACTTTACGGAATTAATTATAGCTGATAAATGAAAAATCGAGACAACTTAGATCGTCACTTGCTTAGTAGTAATAAACCTAAGCCGGAGAATAGATTATGTCGTTAGTATTGCTTATAAAAGAGATGTTACTAAACAGCGGTTGGTCAATTTAATTCCGTCAGTTCTATTGGCATGACGTGTCTCAAAAATTAAAGTAGAATAAATATTGAATTAGAGAAAAATAGAATAATCTTTATTATACAACGTAGATAATATGTGGACATATTATCTATGTTGTATAATAAAGATGGCTCGTAACTTTAAGATCGCCCATTGGAATGGGAGATCTTAAATTTACGACAGATATTTTACTTTCAGACATGGTGAGATCTTGAAGGCAAGCCAGTCTCTACTGTCCCATAGGTAGATTTAACACATTACATTTCGGCAACATAATGGTAGTGCCTGGTTTTTTAACGATAAGAAAAAAAAGGAAATCGAAGGAAACGTGGTCCATCCACTACAGAACATTAGCCTTTTTTTATGTTTAGAAACCTTCTCAGGCCATTACCCCACCGGGGTTTGCGGCGAGTTGGTGTGTCGGAATCGAAGCGACTTAAACCACACGGTATAAAAATCTGTGTCTGAAATTGGAGGAATCCGGGAACCGCTGTTATTAGACATCTGGACATACATAGGCCTCCCCCAAGGTTCGCCACTACAACCGTTTTGAGAATGTTGCTCAGTTCTAGTAAACTTCTTACTTTACACGTTGATGAAGAAGTTATAGGCAATTTAATTTATATTTAATACATTATGCCATTTCACAATAAATTTGATGCATAATTTTTTTTGTTTATAAATCTCATTACAATATTATCTCCCGTCTGCTCGTCTGCCCCCTCTAACATAAAAAAAAAACAATAGAATTGTTATTACCATCATGGTTTCTTACCGAATATTTAAAAATTCTTAACTAAGACTACTTTTATGTATACGACAAATAATTCGTATCTCACAAAATTATAACTATTACTTAAATATTATCTTGAAATTATTTTAAGAAAATATTATTCAATTCTAAAATACAAAAAGAACATCAGGGGACACCCGGGTTTGAACCGGGGACCTCTCGATCTGCAGTCGAATGCTCTACCACTGAGCTATATCCCCGACGAACATTTTAATGAAATGACGAATCTGTTAGCTCAATAGCAGAATAGTGATTATTATGATAACGCTCTTTATCTTTCTTCTTCTTAATCTTAACACAACTCACACACGGCAGTCTGATCCCTGAACTAGCCAAACGAGTCAGCCGATATAGACCGAAGTAATACTCTCCTTATAATATTTGACTATGACAATAACGTCTAGGTCTTGACGTCGCCACAATTTATAAGATGCAGAGATTCATTTTCTACTCACAGTATATAATTGAAGGCGATGTGTTTGGTGAGGCGCTGATTAGCAACGGCAAGCTGGATGTTTTCGTTACAATCGAGGGTGACTGCGTGCCAGAATGTGAGGAGCGCTTGTTTATTGGGATGTACCGCCACTGAAGGCTCTGATATCGCCGGGTGGTACAGATCCCACAGGTCATTGAAGTATTGGCCAAACTGTAAGAATATTTAAAGTACAACAATAGGGATTACACCAATTTTTTCAAAGTATCTCAATGAGAATCTATAGTACTAAAAAAAGCTCTGTGGCCATGACGTCAGAAGGCTGTGTAAATAAATGCGATCAGTTGACAGTTGACACTGACTCTTTTTAGTTCCCACACGTATGACGTAATAACATGGCGGCTACTATTTCATGGTGTTAAAAAACGGATTAAAAACAACTAAAAACTTCGAATTCTATTTTAAACTTTATTTTGTTATTTTATGAACTAAAACTGTCATTTTTCAACTGCTTTTTGCTTAAGCTTTCTCAATATTAGATTTTTTTCTCATTTAAAGTAAAATAGCCTATTATGATAAATTCAACTATTGTTACAATATAACTTTTATAGAGAGATCAACATAATATATTTCTTATTAGTTCGTATTAATATTTATCTACGTAAAATTACATTACGGGCGTGTTTTTTGGTCACTTCAACCTATTGCCGTCCACTGTTGAACAATTTATAAATACATTATTATTTCTTAGATCTACCCATAATTATACACTTACCATAAGTTTCTCAACCCTGCTAACGACGCAGTATGACATCACGCCGAAGTACGCTGTGAGCTTCATTGTCCCATGTACCGCTATGTCAGTGTATTTGCGAGCTGCCTTCAGTTTACCCAGCAGCATCGTGTATACCTGTTTTCATAAATACACGTTTCAAACGCTATGCTAACTTATTGCTTACCCATGAAGAAATGTATTTATGTACCTATATTTTTTTTTTATTGCCGAACAAGAAAGACACAATATTTATTACAAATATTGTCTCCTTCCTAAAAACTGCACTTGACAACGTATATTTTCTTATGCCGAAATATACAGGTATATCTAAGGAAAAAGTAGTGGAAGGCTATGAGAAATGGCAATGTATTGTGTTTGACCTGTTTTTACTGATGTGACGATCATTTTAATGTAAGTAAGGACATTAAAAAAGTGACAAAATACATATAAGAATTATTTTTTCTTAGTTGCCCGCTCATAACTTGTTTTGTTTACAAACCTTGATGAAAACATAAATAACCTAGTTTATAAAAAGTTTTTAAAGATATTCTCAATAATACCTTTATCTCACCCATGCATGCAATTTATTGACAGAAGACGTCGAGTAAATATGTCAAGTATTAGGTAAATTGACGTCACGTTTTGTTATACCAATATCGTTACGTTCTGGGAATTCTCAAAAGAATGTAAAAAACATTATTTTAAAATTTTACTAATAAATTATGATAAACTTAAAAATAATTGGATAGGTAAGTTGTTTTTAGCAATAGAAATAACAAATAAAATTTATTTTGTACATTTTGGAGTCAGGTGCATATTCCCTACGCGACTATAATATTTTGTATGTGACGCAATATATTCTTAGTGTTATTGAGCTTTTAAGTATGAAGAAGAAAAAGAATTAAATTGTTGTGGAAGAATATTTAGTCATTAAATGTTTAATCTTCAGAAGCGATGGTACCATAATATACCGTGTGTCAAAAAGCTGTAATTTGTTTTTCTGATTTATCCTTTTAGATTTGTTGGTTTCGGTAGCATGTTTTTTTTTATTTATTCATTCTTGAATAAAATAAAACTAGGATTTTTTAACTAATACAATTTTCTAAATATTTTAATAATTTAAAATCTGTATACTAGATTGGTAATTCGTTAAATCAAATGAGTAAATTTTACATTACGTACTGCAAATTTTTTCTACAATACAGTGTTCGGTAGTAGTCCATCGCGGACGGCGAGAGTACAGCGTACCTGGTGTAGGGTATGGTGCGCAGTGTCAGGTAACTTGGCGCCCGGCGCGAGGTGCGGGTTGGCGGGGTGCGCGGGGTGCGTGGGGTGCGCGGGGTGCGCGGGGTGCGCGGCGTGCGGAGCGTGGGGCGGGTGCGGCGTGGACGGCGGGCGCGCGCGCGCGTAGCCGGCGCGGAAGTGCTGCGAGGGCACCAGCGCCACCAGCAGCAGCGCCGCCGCAGCCCGCACGCGCGCCGCTCCCGCGCCCAGCAGCTGCGCCTCCACCCAGCGCTCCGCCGTGCGCAGCGCCCACGCGTGCGCCGCCTTGTTGCGCGGCACCTGCACGGCGCTTACTTATATAATGACTGCACGGATGGCGCTGTGGGGCTACCCCCACATGGGACGACACTTTGTGTGATCCACAAATGAATCTGGATCTGGGTGTATTTTGTGTCCGTTTCATGTATGTTTGTAAAGTCCTCCGCGACACAGGATGTATTCTTAATGCGTAAGTTGTCTTTTTAAAGGAAAAACAAGAGATAGGTATCTCTTGTTTAGGATAGAGTCGACGTCACCTGTTTTGTGGCAAATTTACTTAGCAGATATAAAGATGATAGATAACGTGCAGAGTAGAGTCTTTATAAAGATGATAGATGATGTGCAGAGTAGAGTCAGACCTGCAAGGCCAGCCACTCGAGCGCGGCGTGCGGACACACGTCGGCCACGTCCCAGAGGCGCGCCAGCACGAGCTGTGTGAAGCAGGGCAGGCCGCCCGTGGCGCCCGCGCCGCCCCCGCTGCCGTCCACCAGCAGCGTCAGTAATTTATAAAACGGGTTGCTATTCTGTAAAACGTTTGTAAACATGAATACAGAGTATTTTTAATGAAAAACACAGAACACGAATCTTAATATTATTAAATAATATACTTTTATTCGTAATTTAAAAATAAAAGAATAGATAAGAAAAATAACACTTATTCCTATGTTTTGTAAAAATAATTTATTCCTTTTACATTGAGCTTTGAAATTACACATCCTTCCTTGTCTTTGCCCAAACCTGCTTCACAGTGTAACTTATTTTAGATAACCAATTGGCCACTGCTGAAAACAATAAATTTTCACCTAAATTACCTCGGAATGCTTAGCGATGGCCTGGAATATCGTGTTGACAATCTTTTGTGCAAGAGGCTCGTTCCACCGACACAGTGCAAAAATGAGCGAACGCGTTTGTTGCAAATTCAAGCAGTCTCGAGTCTGCTGATATATAAACGGAAACCCCTGAGAACAAATCACATTTATATTATATTTTTAAGTTAAATTTAAACGCTAGTGTTTTACTTTTTTTTTTCATATTTTATTTAATTTGAATATGGGCATACTATTCACATGCACACCTAATTAGTATTATGACAAAATAAAATTTAGAATTTTTTTTTTTTCAGTATCAAATTAAGTAAAAGCAGCAGCACGTAATTCTAAGACAGACTTAACGTTATACACATATAATTACTCAGTAGTAGATTTTTTTTAAACACTTCAAATGTGCTTGATTAGTTTTCGTTTTTTAATTTTTAAAAAGATTATTAAAAAGAAAAATATTCAGTACAATTTACATTACATACACGTTTTACCTTACATTACATACTTCAATAAAATGATCATGTCAGAAGATTGGAGAAATTGAGGTACATAAACAATTTATTACCACTGCACTATCAAGCTACTGGTGGTAAAGTTCTTAAATGTCTGAAGAGATTTTACGTAATTATGAAAGTTCGACCACATTGTTGTAAATCAGACTTTATGTATATCGTGCGACGAATGACAAAGGTTATATTTCAGTAATGTTGTTATTTAGCGCGGCTCGTATTACCTTAGTATGTAGGAGTACTCGCGCGTCGGGATCCATGAGCGCCAAGTGTCCGGCCGCGTCCCTGGAGCGCTCGACGAGCCCGGCGACGAGCGCCACCATCTTGTCGAGCGCGCCGGGCCGCAGCTTGTCCCCGCCGCTCTCCGCGTTAGCGCTGCCGCCAGCTTCCTCCGTCGGGGATTCCATCTGATAAATACAATTGTACCTCTTAAAACACTTGTTTCGATAGAAGCCTAGTACATTCGTTAAGAGAAAAAAAAAAAGATGTTGAGGCCTTGTGTACTGGCACTGTAGAAATGAAGTAAGAGATGTTATGTTTTCAAGGAAATTTAAGAATCGCCAGGTCTGTGTAAGGGTAATGTAGAAACATACAGTGCAGGGGTCACCAGACGTGATAAATCAATGTCTCAAGCATGTTAATAGACAACGACCGAATCGAGACACCATGATGTACCCGGCCCGGCTAATTTTTCTTGCAAAAACTTTTTTTACGGTTCTCTCCAGCTATATCCGGCAAATCAATGACTGAAAAGCTGTATTACGACTTGTTCTTTATTTCAGTTATACACATAACAAGACATAGTTACCGAATTTGAGTTTTGGCCAAGATAAAAGTTAACCATGCTTGATATGGCGTTAATACGCAACAGAAATCTCCCCTCTTCTTCGCCCATTTTACTAAACTCGTACAGCAAACTGAAATATTCAGTCAGATGACGTAAATGTGACCGAGCTCCATTCTCCATCTGAAAGAATGTAAAAAGATTTATGAACATGGAAAGAAAATGTTTTCAGAACCGAATTACGATAATTTAGAATTATAGTAAATCTCTACTAATATTATAAATGGGAAAGTAACTCTGTCTCTCTGTCACGCTTTTACGACTAAACGGCTAAACCGATTTTAATTCAATGTGGCATGGAGATAGTTTGATTCTTGAAGAAGAACATAGGAAGAACTTTTTACCGCTATAAAAAAAATCATACGTTTTACATACCATCTTTAATTCATAAAATGATTAGTCCGGAAGGTACTGTTGCAAATGAAAAAGTCATAGTAAGCCGGCTGATATTGTCATCGATGGTCGATCTAATATGACCAATAAGAGAACCAACCGTCAGCTGCTCAACTAGCGGTGGGTGCGGGTGTGTGTGGTTTCGGGAGTGGTGAAAAAAAATAAAAAAAGTCATAGTACGCCGGCTGAAATTCTTTTCATAATAAACAGCAAAATATTTTCGTACGATATTGTTACACATGCTATAAACTTCTCGAGATTATCATTAAATTTTCAATATGCCGGTTGATGAACGACCGAATGGCGTAGTGGTTTGTGTAACGGACTGCTATTCCAAAGGTTGTGGGTTCGATTCCCACTCAAGTCAAACATTTGTGTGCATGAACATTTAATGTTTGATTTGGTCTGGGTGTTTCTATGTATAATAAGTATGTATTTACAAAAAAAAAAAAAGTATATATGTATTTATATCAGTTGTCTAGTACCCATAGTACAAGCTCTGCTTAGTTTGGGACTAGATGGCGTTGTGTGAATGTGGTACAATATTATAATATTATTATTATAATTAGACAAGACTGTAGTTTAATAGTTACGTTTGCAAAAACAATCAGTCAGTTGGGGGCGAACAGGGGAGTTCTGTCAGCTGGACCCTGAAAGAAACTGTGCATTACTCGAATAATCTATATCCTTAGTGCGTCAGCTGACGGTCTCTCCACCGCTACCCACGCAGCTGATTGTTGTGTTCGTACTTTTGATAATTTAAACAATCACTTAGTTAAATTTCATCCGGCGTACTATAACTTTATTTTACGTGTTTTTTTACAAGTTCAAGCGAGCGGCTGACGCATAATCCCCCCTCCACCATGCAGCTGACGATTTTTTTTTAGCTCTGTATGATGTAAAATATTTATGAAATGAATTACAGCCGGCGTACTATGACTTAATTTTTTATTTCTTTTCACCACTTCCGGAACCTTTCAATCCTACACCCACCGCGGGTGCGTCAGCTGACGCTCGGTTCACTTATCAGTCATTCGACATCTATTGAACAAGATGGCAACCGACTGGCGTAAAAACACTACCTAAAATGCAACGGTACCTCCCGGACTAGATGTTTGACAGTACTAGACCTGCATATATTCCATAGTGGTACCAAATTTTAGTTGCCAAAATATGGACTTTTAATACACTCCTGAATAGCTCTTCGGGGATATAGGCCTGACTGCATGAATGTAGCTGAGAAATTTAGAGCAATGCACGAACGCAGCATATAGAAGTTAAGATCAGCAATCGTAGACCAATACTTACCAATGATAACAGCATTCTTATAAACCTAGTAACAAAACTCGCTTCGCCCAACTTGCTGCTATCGTGGTTTTCCTCCGCACCTTGCAGATATAAGGCGCAATGACTAGATCTGCAACAAAGGAGTAACACATTCAATACCACGGCAAAATATTCCTCATATTAGGAATAGTATATGGTAACGGTAGTGTTATAATAAAAATATATAAAAACAAGTTAAGAGCTGTACCGGAATTGGACCTGTGGACTTTGTGCTACAAGCAGTTAGATTCTTGTACACATGACCACCTGGCCTAGGAAATGGATTATGATGACGGATATTTATAGACCGCACGTTATATACCTATTTACAAATATTTGTCATCACTTACTAATAAAAAACTATAATATTTTTTATTATATTTACCTGAGCCTTTGTATGACATGCATACAAAGTCGCTGAAACATCTGCCGGACCATTTGGTTTGGACATTTTATTAACACCTGCAAAATAGAAAGAAAGAATAATAATCTTTATATCTAAAATACAATATTAGTTTATTCGTATATAATTTTGAAAGGGCGTTATCTGTGATACGGCCAAGGATACCTTTCATACAGAACAAAGTAGTCGAGGGACAAAAAAATGATTTTACTTAGTGATTTGCGGGTAACAGTTCACTAAGTCAAAACCCACACTAGCTTCTTGCCAAAAGGAAATCACTCAAATCCAAATCACCTACCAAGGTTGTAAGAGGAAGCTCTCACAACAACTCTACTAAATATAATGCCGAGTTCAAAAACTGCGCTTACACATTATCATGAGGCGCACCACACGGTGCGTACGCACGATTAATTGTCAGCTGAGATAAATAGGTAAAAATAAGTTCAAAAGTAGAAATAAGATTATTATAGTTAATATCTCAAAAAAAAAGTTCGTAGAATATTACAAAACACAATTTCTTAAATATGTTACCGATCCGTTGTAATATATAAAAAAAAAACAAAGGAAACAATATTTATGCATACCTGCATCGGCCACCAAGTATTATCGGCCATGTGACCTAAGAACCACTCGGAGGCCGCCGCTGAAGCGTTGAACTGCTTCGTCACCAACTCTACCCATGACACCATTGTTGGCTGCGAAAATGTTAAACACTAACTGTTCACCAATACAATTAGATAAAAGTGGAATTAAAATGAAATTAGACGTAAGCTTTTGTTACCCCTATAACATTTTAATGATTATACATACCTTTTCCTTAGCGTGTATAAAGGTTTCTATGAAGAAGGAAGTGGATAGCTGCGCAGCTACTTCGGTGACCTCAGGCCGAAGCGTTAACAGTGATTGTGGCACTGAACTGCACATTTGACCCATAAACCTGTGATGTAGAATTATAGACCCGGTATAGAGTGCAAACAAACAACAATACTGCTATCCATATATTGATACAAAATTGCTATGCATAAACAAATATTATTTTATTCTCATGCCGATTTAAATAAAAATAGAAAGTATTTTTAATATTAGAATAATATAATATTTGAACTACTGAAATATTCATAATAAACTAAATGTAAAAAAGTTAATTTTAAATAACAATTAAATCGTATCTTGTATGCATGTAATTGTAAACATCATAATGTTTGATGACATACAAGATTAAATTTACCAATTGAAACTTTTTCAAACATTACAAAGTAATTAATGGATAAATAATGGATTAAATAACAGATACAAATTATTGGACAGCAAGGGATTCAGAGTGTCCGTGACGGATTAAGAATACGGAATGTCATTACCCCTATTCATCCCGTGGGTGTGGAAGGGGGACTAAGGGAACAAACTACGCAGGACAACAGCACTGCGAAGAGAAGGAAAACTTGAAACAAACCCTATACTAACCCGTCTGGCCAGCGTGTTATAGTGGGCCAAACCCTCCTTTCTAAGGAGAGGCCTATGTCCAGCAGTGGACTAGTAATGGCTGTTGATGATGATGATGATGAAGGGATTCAGATCCAAAACACTGAACGCAATAGCGGCTTTGCGAGATAGCTAAACCGATAGCAAACCGCCATGTGCGATTAAAACTTGAGTGGAGAAGCTTCCGTATGATGATGTGTACATATTTAACACTGATTTTTAAAATAAGTTAATATTCTAGGTGAAGAGAAGAACAATGGAGAGAAGAAGAAAACACAATGTTCTCTAATACATTGTAACTGCAAATGTAAGTTTTAACGCAAAAACACAAAAATTTGGTTCACCATCAAAGCGCATTTTACTACTAACTATAATATAATTGTTTCATTGGGGCTTAAGGAACTCTAGAAGAATTATGAATATTTCATTCATTAACATGTTTTAACAAGTGAATTAGAAAAAAAACACTTAAGGGTTTATAAATAAGACAGAAGTTTATGGCACTAAATAAAATATAAACAATGTGACGATACTATTAGGAATAAATTACCAAAATTAGTAACAGAATGAAAAGAATAAATGAAGAAACAAAAAAATACAAAAAACTAACTAACAGGGGACACCCGGGTTTGAACCGGGGACCTCTCGATCTGCAGTCGAATGCTCTACCACTGAGCTATATCCCCGACACTATTATTACTGAAATAACAAATCATTTCACTCAAGTTATAAAAGGGTTTATCATAATACTGTTGTAATAGGTAACCTAATTTGAAGTGATACTTTACTCTTATTATATTATTCTCAATGTATCTCTATTAATTTGATCTTAATAAAAACAATAATATATTGAAAAACAATTACGACACTTTAGTGAAACTTACGTGAAATATGCGTGCTGAAAAATATTTTTGTCGTGCAAGAACTGCATATTGTCATCCCAAATCCACTTGAGCAGATCTGGAGGCAGCTTTATCGATGACGCCGCGTCGCTACTGCGCCGCTCCACAGACGAGCTTGGGCTGGCACCCTCGGCCGTAGATGACTATGGTAATTGTGCATTATAGTGTAAATATTTAATAAAATATGTTTAAGACACCATTTTTTTGGATTGCTGAGTGAGTCTGACTGCTATACTAGATAGAGGTCATAATAATATGTTCTGTTTCCGCCCAGAACAAATTATTGCGTCATGTAATCGATCATGTGTTCTATGTCTGAGTGTAAGTTATCTATAATACTGTATTGGTTGTATTTAAAAATATGTTGGTAGTATGTTTATCAGCTGTCTGGTTACTCTACAAAATACAATACAATTTTTAAACAGTATTTGCTATACAGTGAAAAATTATCCAAAAAAGGCAACATGTGTCCAGTATACATTTTAATATATCATGGTCCAGAGTCTATGTGATAACAGTTTAAGTTATGCTGGCCCTAAAATAAAATAAGACATTTAAAACAAGCCAGGCGATCTCTAGTTATTAGTATGTTCTTAAAGTTTTGTTTCGTTAAATTTGAAAACAAAGTAATGTCACAATGTAGCATACCTGTGCCTCGTCGAGCGGCCCACACTCTGAGCCCCGCTGACTGCGCGGTGGACTCCACTCGTAGAACAACATATAAGCGCTGTTAGTCTTCTCGAATGAAAAGTCCATGAATTTGTCTGTTACCGAATCGTATGTCTTACTCTGAAATTAAAATTTTGCGTATTAAAAACGCGAGCTATTCTATTCACAAGATTGTTAATGTTTCTTAAATATTACAAATTTCAAATCAAAATTCATATTTAAACGATTTAACAAAACATTACTATTCTCTCTCAGATATTTCACACAAGCTTCCACAGTATGCTCGTACTGTGACGTTTAATTAACACAAACTGAGTTTGCCTGACAGGAAATTACTATATTTTTAGCAAATATCTTTAACATTACAAAATATTATAAAATAACACTATAATTATCAATAAGAAAGAATTAGCATATAAGTTCTTCTTATATTTAAAAGTGAAATTAAATTAATTCAAAATTGAATCACTGTTGTTCCTTACAATTGACACTCTTCATATCTCGCAATCGGTGAGACAGACTATTATGCTGTTATCTATACAAATAAATAAAATTGAAGTGCCTGTTTGTAATGTCAAAATAATATGCCTAAAAACCAGTTAAAATATTTTTTGTTTGTCTTTCTGTCTATCTGGCTGTCTGTTTGTTCGGGGTAATCTTCAAAACGGCATGACCGATTTTCAAACCCTATAAAATTTTGCCCGGCCCGGGAATCGAACCGGAGGCCTCATGGACTGCAGTCGCGTACCGTACTACATCACTAAGGCCGTGCTTTTCAAATTCCACGCGAACAAAGTCGCGGGTACCCTCTAGTCCCAAATGAGTTTAGTTTTTGTATGACAGTGAGGAGTACCGACCGTCATCTCGCCACCGAAGCACTCAGCGGCGATGTGCGCGGGGTCGAAAGGTTTGACCTCCGCGTCGTTGAACAGCAGCCAGCGGTCGTGGTGCTCGTGCTCGCGGTCGCGTATGAACGAGTAATAGTGGCCGCCGTCAGCCGTGCCCGTGTGGACTGTCACACCTATTAGCTCGTACCTAAGTGGTAAAGTACTTCTTAAATTCTATTCTTATGGCATAACAATACTAATTGTAAGTTACTAATTCTATTTACGCTGCGGTTAAAATTAAATGTCGACAATTATTATTCAAGAGCACACAACGGTCAGGTAATAATAAGAATAATAGAAGATAAATTAAAATTCACTTTATTTTTATTTTATTTAATTACTCGTCCATTACTATCTTAATAGGGTGTTAAAACTTACTCATAGTGCTCCTCAAACTCTGAATTGTCTTCGACCTCCATTGTTGGACTAGCTTCGCCGTCCTTCTTCTCAGCAGATTTCTGTTTCTCTTCTGTAAGGATGGACCAATATGCATTTATTGTTTAAATAAATTTAAATTAGTGTCATTTATGCTTACAAAACAAGAAAAGAGGAAAGAGACAGAGAGAGAGGCTTGTGTTTGCGATAGCTTAATAAAAACACTACCGCCCCTTTCAGTTCTAAATTTAATATTTTTATTTATACTACTCACTGACCTTGATACTGAGCAGGCATCAGATGCTTTTCCACATATCCAGACATATCGAGCCGCATCGGGAAGGAGAAGTGCGTATTAACTTTCTCCTTGAGCATTGTCAGCATGTTGAAGGTATATCGCATCGTGTTAAAACACAAAATGCGTGGCAGCTTTTTGAAACACGCTCTGTTGAATGTAAGATATAAATATAATGAAAATTGTCCACTGTTATTAACAACAACAATAAACACAAACTATAATGATAAATTATTTTGACGCCAGAGAGAGAGAAAAAAAAGCGATTGTATTTGACTTGACCTACACATTAAAATTTTATTAAATTTAAATCAGCGTAACGTACGTTATTTTTAGAGCTAATAATATAATGATAATAAAAGATTCAATGGGCATTCTTAAATTAAAAAAACAGCTAAACTGATAACAAACACACGTTGACTTCGACACGAATTAATTATGTATTTTGGGTTTTCTGGACAGTAAAATAATCAATTGACGTACCGTTTCTCAGCGCGCACTTTGGCAGAGCATTGCGAGCAGGTGTAACAGTTATCACCTTCCAGCGTGTCTTTGACCGTCACCTCATCTAGGCTCTGGTGAAGATTTCGCATGTCTGCTACTTGGCAACGAACCGTGTAGAACTCTTCTAACGTTCGCGATACGTGTGGGCAGTCCTGTGGAAAGCAAAAGTTATTGAATGTCGATACTTTACATTACATAGACTTTTATTCTTTTTTTTATGGATAACTGCAAAAATGACACAAAGTACTACTGGCAAAAAAAAATTAATCATCCTGATCAAGTATTTATTTGTCTTAAGCCTTTTATTTGAATTTGAATGGATTCAAACTCAAACTCAAATATCTTTATTTCATAAAACTATAAAAAATATTTGAAATCGTCTCTTGTGAAGACTCTATAGTCATAGATCAGCACAAACAATAGCAACATTCTCTGTTTTGTCAAATATTTAGCAAACTAAATATATACATATCGAGAATCTCTTATATGCCTGTACCGATCTACAACCGCCCATTTCCAAGGGACTGGATATCCACATAAAACACACTCGTCTTCAGACTAGATGTTAAAAAATCAAAAATATTTACCAGTGATACTACATTGTTGCTTAGAGTTCCACAGAAGAGCGTCTTTACTAGTTTCTTTAACTCTGGAGTCATTTCTTCAAGTTTCGACACGAGGTCAATAAAAAACTCCGCCATGTCCTTCTGCTCGCCCGTGTTGAGCGGTTGGTGGTCCATCTGGTAGACTTTACAGAAACTGCGAGGGTTGTACGCTTTGCGTTCACTTTCCTAGTTGAAAAAAATATTATAAATTTTAGTGACGTTACAATACTGTTTTTTCGAACTTAAAACCAAGTATTATTTGCAGTATTTCAATTAGAATTTCATAAATATTATATTTATATATGTCTAATCTTTTACAATAATAAAGTGTCTTGGAACTTTATTTCTGAAATTAAAAGTTCATTTTTAAAATTAGAAAATTGAAACAAAATACCAATTAAACAAACCAAGTTGTGATAAAAAAACTTCCACCGACTTTGTATTGCAAATTTTACTGCAATTAGAACCATTATTGGCAAGCATTCAAAACATTCTAATAACTCTGCACCACTTCTTTACCTATTCTGCCCATAATATGTGACCCATTTTTTACAATTTTTTAACCCCCGTCGAACCCTCGGTGACCACCTGTTATATATTGTAAGATGAACAGGTCTGTAAGTATGGTAGAAATTCCAAAGGACAATCTTTTAGTTATTACCGCTTACAAATATAACAAAAGAATATTAGGAAACTAGAACTGTAGTAAACGTAGCTGCCACTTACCATAAGATACGCAAACATCCTCTGCATCTCGTGCAAAGTAGCCGAGTGCCGGCTGGCGGCAGGGTCTGCCTGCAGCAGCGCCAGTCTGGCTTGAGGCATCATGTACAAGTGTTGCATACACGACGCCATGTAACACGTAGCTCCGAGGTTCGTCAGACCGACGTACCCGCATTCAGACCGTGATTCTTCGGCCGGCCAGTAGTCCCATGGGTAAGAGGATTGTGGGCCTGGTAATAGACGATCTGTATTGTGTTCAGTATCATGTGGGTAACAACAGAATAGAGTAAAAATATGTACAACTATTATTATTTATTTAGGTAAATATTATACAGGAAGAAATCCGTTTTATTCAGAATTCATCAGTTCACTTAAATTAATTTAATCGTTAGATAATTGTTACTATTATTTTAAGAATATTACAGTTTAATGTTAGCAGAAATTTCAGATTGCTGCTATATTAAACATCATCATCATCATCATCATCGTTAAAGGCTGTTGCCTTTAATAGTACTATCCTTATAAAGGAAGTTTCAACCTACTACTATACTACGCTGGCCAGCGTAGTATAGTAGTAGGTTGAAACGGACGGTTGACGGGTGGGTATAGGGTTTTTTTCACGTTTGCATTCTTTTTGCAGTACTGTTGTTCGGCGTAGTTTGCTCCCTTAGTCGGCTCTTACCACAACCATAGGATGAATAGGGGTGGTGACACTCTGTATTCCTAATCCGTGACCACACGGAACATTTATGTTTGATTATTTTTTTAATCAAAAATTAAACATTAGTAATAAGTAATTTAAAAATTAACTATTCAACTCAGCAATCGAGCTAACTGGTTGAACTAGGTGAAGTTCAACCAGTTAGCTGTAATAAGGAATAAAAGATGCATATGTTTTGTATAAATTTGTAAGCAATTAACAGCTTTGAATCATAGGTACATAATAAATAAATATATGTTTAGTAATAAGTCCTTACCTGGTTTATGGTGTTCCATCAGTTTATTATGTAGCACCATGTAGTTATCTGGAGCGCCTTTAACAAGTTCTACGAGCAGGTCGTATGCCGCCGCGCGGGACTTTTGTGATTTGCATTTCGGCAAGTTTCTGTTGTCCGGATTAGGTACATCGAATAGGAAGCCAAACACCTATCAAGGGAAGGATAAATATCATCAGTTTTTTGGCGTTTTTAAATCACCGTCACCATCAATAGCCACTGTCTGCCTGCCTTTAATTGGCCTACTATAGCACACTGGCCAGACTGGTTGGTATAGGGTATGTTTTAAGTTTTCCTTCTATTAAAAAATAAATCTCCAAGTTTTAAACATTAATTTGACATTAATTATCTTTAAACTTATGATACTATTGTAATGATATTAGTGTAAAAGTAATGTGTACGTTCAGGCATCTAATACTAATAACCTTAAGACGTAAATTGCACCTAACATGATTACGGCTGTATTGATGAGAAAGCAAAGTTCGTTCCAACACTAAGACTACGACAGTTATAATCGTAAACCATATTAAGAGCCATATGTATATTTGATATAATAGACATTATTTTATCAAAGACAGTTACAGAAATAATAGATATATGACCTTCATGAAACACATACCATTTCTAACGTCCTAGTTCCTTGTTCAGACATCTTAAATCGCAATGGATGTTTCAGCAAATGAGTCAACAAGCTCAGTTGTCCGTATAGTCCGTCATCAGGAGTGCACGGTTCTACACGACGTTCGATAATCTCGCGTTTTTCCAAAGACGATCTAGTCTGTTCACATAGCTCGTTCAGGTCTGGAGCTCCACTATCTTCAGATGTAGCTCCTTCTGTGTATCAAATTTATGAATAATATTATGTATAGGTATAACTTGATAGTAAAATTGAGTATTAATTATAAATCTGTAAGTATTTTTGGATACGTCAAAGCGAATGTATCAGAAAAACATATTTGTGTGTTAGCTTATATAAGTGTAAGTGAATAAAACATTCACTTACAAAATTTCGTCTAATTTTTATGCTCCTACCTAAATTAGGCAAACACCCACCACAGTTATTCTAAGGAATAACTATGGTGGGTGTTTGCCTAATTTACAACGTACACTAGAGGTACTGTTGTATGACTGTGTGATAACTAACCTTTGAAGAAATCCTCGGGTAAACCGTCTATTAGCCTGCACACAAGCCAAAAGTAGTCCCTACACGCCGGTCCATAAGGTTCCTTGCCTTCCTCGGCATGATGATGAACAGACTGTAAGAAAAAAATGAGTTTTTAAAAAGGGATGATCTACAATGAGCATTTATAGTATATGTAAAAATATAGGTATACATATTTTTACATATAGTAGAAATGTAAAGTATACACTTTATGGTTGAATAAGGAATGGTTTTAATGATATGGATGAAATTTTAGATAAATTTCAGTTAAATATATTATGTGGGTTTGAATAGGATGTGAGGTGATGAATAATCATAAGTGAATGAATGAAATGCCTCTCAATTGCCTGAAAGTAGCGTGAGTACATAAAAAGTTTAGGAATAGTAGACATGAAAAACAGAAAGGGGGACATGGAATGTGAAAAACGATGAATGATAGAGGAAACAAAAGAACTCAGTGTGCGGATCTTTTATGAATATTGAGAAGTGGGAAGATGTATAACGTGTAGTGGTGTGGAGCGCGGTGTACGCACGTGCAGGTGGTGGTGCGGCAGGTGGTGCGCGGGCCGCATGTCGGCGGCGCGCGGCAGGTGCTCCAGCAGCAGCTGCAGCAGCGGCGCCAGCACGGCCACCTCGCCGCCCGCGCACAGCCGGTACAGCGCGCTGCCCGCCTCGCGCCGCACCTAAACACGATATACGAACAACGACCGCCATTCAATATACGATATGGGTTAGCACACCTACGAAAGTCTGTGTTCAAAATGCGGACTAGAGACTAATTACATTATAACATTACAAATTGTTTTACACAGTATTTCATTAAGTTGTTTATGACATAAAATTTCAGTGTAGGGAACTATCATAGGATGATATTTTATATTAACCTAACCTAACCAAAATGAGTGTATATATTTATATATATATATAGATATATGTTTTTTTATGTATCCTTAAAAAAACAGTATTGCCTCTAGTCATCTACAAATGAAAGTGATCTAAAATACAATCCATTAGTGAACAAAAAAACTGAATTTAAACAAAGAACATTTAAAATATTTGGGCAGCTTTTATGACAGGTCACAAAGCTATAGGTACTAACTGCAGGATCAGCATCGTCCAGCAGCAAGCGCGGCGCGGCGCGGCGCAGGGACCAGGCCAGCGCCACCGCGTCCCCCCCGCCGCGCGCCCACCACACGCACATGCGCATTGCGTGTTGCACCACCTAGTACAAATCACTACTAAATAAATCATTCAACATTTCAAAAGAAAATATATGTATAGATTTGACTTTGTTTTTTTTTCTGAGCAAAATTATCATGTTTTAATAAAAAAAAAATGCATTATATGGCCTATTTGCATTTTATGGGAGCATATTACACACGTGAACTGGGCATTGATATATTTTAAAAATTACCAAGTTGACATCAATGTGAAAATAATTTTGAAATATTATTAACAGATATTCAATAAGAAATTTAGTTTATTAGACATACCTGTGCTCTGCCCCAAAATCCTGTCTTATAAGTGGCAGGTTCCTTTAAGGTAGCTGCTTCGCACAATATAGATATCAACCTCTCTGTTGTCTCCTCCACGCTCATTAGAGACAGTAAAGACTGTAAAAAAAAACATGTTTATGCTCATATAATATGCGTTCAAGAAATTTCTTGTATTCCAAAAAGTTCTAATATGTTAAACAAATAAGTTACAATCTTTAATAGTTTTATATATAGTTATATCTTAATTATTTCAATTTATTATAATGACAGTTGGTTGCGGCCTGCATCCAACGGTTTCCGGCAACCTTTACCAGGTCGTCCGTCCATCGGGTAAGCGGTCGTCCCACAAATCATTGGAAATCTTTGGGAGAGGCCTATGTCCAGCAGTGGACTAGTAATGGCTGTTGATGATGATGATGATAAAGGGATTCAGATCCAAAACACTGAACGCAATAGCGGCTTTGCGAGATAGCTAAACCGATAGCAAACCGCCATGTGCGATTAAAACTTGAGTGGAGAAGCTTCCGTATGATGATGTGTGTACATTTTTAACACTGATTTTTAAAATAAGTTAATATTCTAGGTGAAGAGAAGAACAATAGAGAGAAGAAGAAAACACAATGTTCTCTAATACATTGTAACTGCTAAATAAATAATTATAATGAAATATACATACTGGGTGTAATTTCGGTGTTTGAGCGGGATCAGATGAAGGTAGTGTACCGATTCTACATAACAGCTGCAACAGAAGTGCAAGACAATCCTGTCTCCATTCGCTGTCATCATTCCTTTGTAACACACCTGCAACATTATCATTAATAAAACATTCAGTTGAAACTTAAATTAAAAATAAATAATATGCGTCTATGAATTTGCTTGTCAACAAAAAATAATGTTTGTACATTATAGGTATAGCTTACAACAATATAGTTGACAACAATCTCCAGGTCCTGATAAGAAACCCCATAGGTAGAATAGATGACCCAGATAAGAAAATGGTGAAGCATCGATCAAACCCCGGCCCCCGACCAATCCGGCACCTAAACATTATCGAATCAAGAACCTAATTGGTCAACTTGCGGGGCTTGATCGATGCGCCAATATTTTTTTGATTGATGAATAGAACAGTTCCGGACGTGTCAGAAGTTTGAATGCAGTCCAAGACCCTACCTACATGAATCCACTTGTTTTTATACACCGCCGTAATTTGCACGCATGGACGCACGTATAGTTTTTGTTAGGAGTAGTCAAAACCATACCACATTGTACCCATAAATTGCTGGTCAAGTTAAGGATAGTATAATGATAATCTATATTTCTTAAATAAATAAGTAAGAAAATTTACCTACTTTTTACAACACCTACTTTTTACAACACAGTGTTTTGAGCATTTATTTACAAACCTGACATCATAATATCATACAGTAGTCTCAGTCCGCCTTTCTTTATAAACAGCTCGTTCCAATTCTCGACAGAAGTGTTTTCATCATCACTCATCGGAGTGCCAGCTGCCGGTTCCTTTGCATTCGGAGTGCTAGTGTTACTGGAACTCAACTTGTCAATAATATGAAGGGAGTACATGAGTTTCTGAGGGCTGGTGGGATCAAGTAATTCAGGTATCTTGCTTTCGTTTGGGCTTTGGAATGCTTCTAGCAGTGTAGGGTTGAGTGGCACGGCTTGTAGAATATCCCATACGCGTCGTGATAATAGTTGAGCCTTAGTATGCGCCACTGGTACCTGTAGTGTAAAAAAAAGATATTTAATTTCTTTAGAAAAAATAATCTTCATATCAAGTCATTATATTTAAAGGCGAAGAACTTGTAAAAAGTTTTTTTTTAGTGACAGGGTGAAAAATCAATTCGGATTGTCGGCTCCTGAGGGACAACATCACGCCGATGCAGGAGCCTGGAGTACTTGGTGTCTCCAAAAACCACCCTGACAGCCGGCCTACACTGGGGACAACCCGGACTTGTGATTTCGAGGCCTAATCACTACGTTGCAGCCCCGTCTTGAAATGTGGAAAAGACGACCCAAAATTCTAAACACAAAATAACGCATAACGTCAATCATTTATTAGATAAATGTGTGTTATACGAACCCCATTAGCACCGGGTTCTTTCATCTGTCCAAGGGCCTGCATGAGGGTAAAAAGATGGTTAAAGTAAGTAGGGTCCAGCAACAATAATGTTGGCAATCGAGTCCGTGCAGGTGCCGGCTGGGCAGAGGGCCATTCTGCCCACGCGCCTCGCCCTCCCACGCCTACTGATACGAACACCAGCTGCAAAACAAGACAACATTTCAAATCACTGCATTCACGTTCTTACGACGTTCGATTATCCATAGAAATGCCAGAGTTCATTTAAGTTGGCAACACACACCTTTACAAGCTTTTGATACTCCTGGTGTTGCATTTGTTTAAGGCGTCATTTTATATTTACCATCAGGCAAGTTATTTTGTTTTGAAATCTGTTTGAATCTTTAAGACATTCATTAACAACATTTCATCTATGCATTTACTGCCTTGCTTTATTACTGCCTTAATTTATTTTTATTATTATTTTACTCCTGTTAATGTCACTTACCTGATTGTCTTTGAAGCCCATATCGTAAAGCGTTCTTTCGTCATAGTCTATGGTAAGTTCTTGTCCTTGCGTTATCATACGTAATGGACCGTCTGTTGATAAAGCTGTTACGCCTTCTTCGCCTTGTATCTGTATAATCAATTCAATAAACATAACTGAAACTGACGAAAGTTTTTTCAACGAAATATCCTATCATATCATAGAAAGAATTCTAAGATCAAAGCTGGGTTAAAGGAGTGACATTATGCCACCAACTCGGCCTTAGAGAAACCAGGTCTGTTGCTTTCTCTTTTTGCCTACATTGTAACATCAGCTAAATTCAAATTGAACACAACTCTTTCCGCAATATGATTTTGAAATTATCTCTTTTTTGGTGTGAATCGAGGTTAATATTAAATGTTGACTTATATGATAATGATATGCAGCATAAGTATCTTTAATAGGGTACTATTAGGTGGAAAAGTAGTCCGGTAAGCTGTACCTGTTTCTCCCACCACACATGGACGTGAGCCCGTAAATGTGCTACTAAATCAGACTGGTGCAAAGCGAGCGAGGCCCTGGGCCCGGCCCCGGCCGGCTGCAGAGTCACGCGCACCGTGCCGCCCCCCGCACCAGTCGCACACCCCTCCCACGCCCCTGATTCTGCTAGAGCCCATCGACGCAAGTGATATGCATATCTAAAAAAACACAATTACGTAGAAATTTTAATTATTATACAAACTTAACTGCCAACATTAGTGTTAAACCTAGTATTGGTCGACATTACAAAACATATGCCGACCAAATTGGTGACGTTCTAAAGAAAAGGTAGGTCAAAAATACCGGAAACTAGCTAGCTTGTAAGAAAAGTTAAATGACAGTAGAGGAAGCTCGTGAGGTACGTTAAGATAGAAAGCAGAGGCGAAGCTGTGGTCAACGCGTACAGCGGACGCAAAAAGCCATGAGTTTATCATTAAAAAGAACTTGATAGCCCAAATATAGTAAGATTTTTGAACACTAAATTACTACCCTAAAATTTGAACTTAGGTACCTTTACTCAAAATATTGCTTAATCGAACCGAAGGTATAATTTTTATTTTATTGAAAGAAAAAATTGCACCCATTAGCCTTATACCGAGATGTTACTTGTACACCATATGTTTAATAGTATTTGAATCCGAAATTCACTCTACATACCTCCTTTTGAAAGTATCAAGATGAGTCTTTAACAGTAACAAAGCCCTCTGAATACACTGTAGAGCTGCCTCCTCAGTCATATGTTCATAAATATTCTGATTGTCCACAGTGTTCTCTCCTTCTTCAGTTTCTTCACATGACATCTGAGGTAATGTTCTCCTTTCTCCATCTCGGTTCTTGGCTATAAGCCTTTCAGCGGCGGAGGATAGATGGAACATGCATTTGGCTACAAAGTCGTCTTCTTGTTGGAGTTGCTGGCCCATATAATAGCTGTTCAAGTATTGGATCGCGGCCATTGATACATCTACAGTGGGGAAATACAAAAATTTCTATAAGAGCTATAACAGAATTTGTTATTTTTTTAAATTAAAAAATTTGCACATTTTGTCACAAAAAACAAGGTAAAAAAAAAGCATTTAAACATTTTTCTTTGAAATTAAAGAACCTGAAAAAATAATTGCAAAAAATCTTCATTTGTCGTGTCGTGTCGTGAGGTAATAATAATAATAATCTTTATTTGTCAACATATGATTGTAGGTTTTACAAGTGTAGGATACATGTAGTTTTACATAGATACTAAATACAATAATAATGGGTGTAGTACTGTCCACCTTTTTTTGTCTGTGCGGAAATCCCCTCGGATACCACCTATCGGTGACATGTCGGACTCTAACCGACTAAAACCGCACGCCGTCTCGGGTACTAATAGCCGGGGAACCAGGTATACCCTAGAAAGGAAGTCCCTGGTGCCCCGAGATACCTCGGGCCATCTACAACAAGTAGACGACCCCCCCCCCCTCCCGTGTGGGAGTACTGTCCACCTAAATTGTCTACAGATTATCTGTGATAAAAAGGAGGGTAGAAAGTTGTAGTGATTTTATGGTAGAACTGAAAGTGAGTGAGGATGCTTGTGCGTGTTTGTGTGAGAGCGTGTTTCTGTGTGTGTGGGTAAAGTTAGCAGCTAATAAATATTAAAGTGTGATCTGGCAAAAACATTATTGGGCCACTGTTGTATGTAGCTCAAATAAGGATATCGAATAAAAAGTCAACATCAAAGCTGCGACACATTGTTAGTCAAATCATTTACCTGTGCTATTGGCCCGAAGGGCAATTTTCCACAGGTGGTCCATGGCCCGTGTATGCGGGTGAGCAGTGTCCCGAAAGTCGCCGGTACCGAGGGCCATGCGGGCCAAGTTGCACAGCTGCTGATACAGGCTCAGCCCCATTATGCTGATGGTCTGCACAAAACAAGAAAACATGCGTGTTAAGAAGAAGTTATATTATAGTCAGATTTTACAGTGTTGTCGAAGACCAATGTGGCGAGAAAGCAGTGTGTATGCAGGAAGTAAGTTATTCTTATTTTAGAAGCAAGGGTTTTCAGTCTATGTTTGTTTGTTTTTTTTTACTCCCGCACTAGGAATAAATCCTGTGTCGCGGGGACCATTACATAAAATTGAGGTGAAAACGACATACCTCAGGATCCAACGTAGGCATTTTCTCCACGTACAAAAACCTGAGAGCGTCTAGCCCCAGCGCATGTTGGTCAGGGGACTTGGTGTGCGAGAGCAACCACGAGTACAGACAATCCGCACACTCGGTACTGCCACGTACTACCAAGCACTCCCAAAGTTCCTCCACTTGCTCCACCGTTAATCTGCAAGGATCAAAATGTATTGAAATTTATGTGCCAAATATCTGCATACCAAAACAAAATTTGAGTAAACTTCAAAATCCAGCCCTTAAGGAACAAAGAATAAGAGAATAAGATGACACATAGGTAACAAACTAAAATTTATGTTACTTTTAATTTCGTGCACCTTATTTCACATAGATAATGGTGTTCAATAAGCTAATAATGGGTGGTATACCTGAAATGTTGCGGCGAGCCAACGGGCGAGAAGATTGCGGTGAGAAAGTGCAGGCGAACGGTAAGTTCAGTGATGTGCGCGTAGTTCGGAGCTTCACTAGTAGCGCGTCCGCTCGACATGTAATGTCGGAGGTCTTCCAAGAACAGGCGCATCATGCCGCGCTCTCGCTCCGCCCACATCACCACCTGTAGAAACACCTTTATAATACAAACCATTCAAAAGCGCATTGCACCACTAACATTAAGCGCTATGTCAAACGATGTTGTATAATGTATGAATTTAAATATCTCTAAATAATGATATTAGACCCTTTTATTAGAAATCAATGGGCGTGACTATTTATTATGATATTGAAGAATTTAGTAACAGCTGTACCTGATGCATGTCCATGCCACGTAACTGTTGAAAGGAAGAGAACAACTTCGGTAGCAATCGAAGTGATACAGCCACAGATCTAAAATAAAATACAAATAAGTATTTATATTGTTTTTTATTTCTATAAAATATTTATACCACCTCTCGAGTCGTACCTGTGATTAGCGAGATTGTCCAGACATCCTTCAATAAATTTAATCCTTATGAACTTGTCAGTGCTAAAACACAGCAAAGCACAGAGCGCCTTTTCTGCTTCAAGCGCTAAACCCTCGCCTAGTTGTTCCTTTAACAGGTAATGACATTTTTATTTAGCAAATTCGAAATGTTAGACACAAAATGTTGGAAATAAAAGTTGAATATTCAATATAACATTCTAATGGTGTGGTGCAGGAATGATTCAATCTACAAATTGATCAAAACAATAATGCTAGTTAATTTTATAAAATGATCAATATACATTTTCGTAGTTGTAGTTGTATTTATTTTATAGTACAGGGGCCAAGCAAGCAGACGGGTAACCTGATCGTAACGCATATGGACACCTGCACCCTGGACTCATATAATTTGTGTAAGAACTTTAACCTTAAGTTTTATTTGTGAACTTATTACGTAAATAAGTTTGTAGCAAAGCAACAGTTTGTTTTAAAGAGAGCATTAGGAATAGATTTTATGTCACGGAGGTCTTTACCATTCATGAAATGGCCAGAAAAACACCTAGACTCAGAATAACAAATTGTCGATCATACAAAGTGTCTCATGTGGGGATCGAACTCAGCCCAGTAGGAAAAGGCGAGGCAAGCGCTTAAACCAATATTCCATCTTTGCAGTCCGTCAATAAAGAAATAAATTACGCCCAAAGAAATGAGGAGTTAGTCACAGGCCCTTGTACATTATTTAAATGCAAGTTTGAAATAAAATTATTACAACTATTGCGCCTTTCTAAACATTTTGTTGGATGAAACATGTTTATAATGAACATAAACATATTACGCAGAATTACGCATACAAAAATATGTTACATCGGCAACCCTGTGATTAAATGATATTCAGCTATAGTCTAAGTTTATACATTTGTAGCACTACGGGTACGTAAGTACGAAGAGGTACAGAAAAAGAGAACCGAGCAGCGCGGGTAGTGTAGAGCACGTCATACAACTCACAATAGCGCCGTCCTGCAGCAAGTCCCAGAGCAGAGTGTTCCCGGGGCGGCACACTTCGCCCACGTCGCACGGGAGCACCGGGGACGAGCCCCGCGCCGTGCTCGGCCCCGCCACGGGGCCCGCCGCGCCCACGCCCACGCCCTGGTACTCCGTCAGACATTGCGCCTGCATATGAACATTTTATGCCGATTTCATTTTATACTAAAAAAGATACAATAAAGATAAAGATTTCTTTTTGGGACGCGTTTTGAGTAACATTTTTGATGGCAATTATGATTGCTAGACGTTATTTAAAGCGAGCATTTGAAGTACCATAGCAATTAAAAGTTTAGTAAGGTACTTAACATTATTTACAAACTATAAGCGAGTCTTAGTAGCACACTCGATCATCAATTGCATACGCGTTCTCACGTTAGTTTCCTCTCAGTAAGTACCTGTGCAGCTAATCTGGCCAGTTCTTCTTCGCAGCCTGAATCATCCTCGTCAAGATCTGCAAGGTGAGGATGCGAATGCGGGGATAGTGCTGATGATGCACTGCCTTCCTCTTCCTCGCCACCCACTGCTGAAACTGCGCGCCGCTTGTAGTTCTCCATTAGGCGGAGTTCCATTAAACGCCTACTGAAAACAGTCAATAATGGTAGTGTACATATTTTACATTTGTTTGTATCTGTTTGTCATGTAGACTCGTCATTAGCGATCAATATTAATATTATTCTTCTGGTAACCAACAATTTGCCCAACATAAAAGCTTTTAAGAATAACTTGAAATTATTTGTATATTTAAATCGTAAATTTAAAAAGAAAAGCTAACTTCACTTTTTTTATTAGTTTTAGACTATTTGGATATTTTATCCAATAAGGTATTTTTCACTTAGTATCTTTTTTTCTTAATCTCCATTAAATCCCGAAAAAGTCGTTACTAAAATAGGCGTTTCATTCACTCCCAACTCCAGTTAGTTCCCAAAATCCTCTGTATTAATTTATTTTCCAAACAGTTATATTACTCAGAATGGCTTGAAGCTACATTCGTTACATCGGATTAGTGACAGCTGTAATTTCGGCGAAACTTCACACGGGTCTAGGCGGTCATTTTGTACAACAGAACTCGAACAGCCGTTGCCAACGCACCCCACTTAGGATGAATGGTTTCGCGTGTAGTTGATTGACTGAGATTAAGTATGGGATAGTAAGTTATTATTTGCTGCTTATCTAACATATCTGTGTTCTACTCGCGTGTACAACAAAGCTTTTTCGATATTGGAAATTAATTTCCTGTGTATTTAAAGTTTAGGAAGCCTAAAAATCAATGCTACTAAAAGACCGATGCAGGTTAGCCCATAAGCTAAAAGGTATCCGTGTGTATAATGAACTTATGCATAAAGATTTACCTGGCATCTACGTTGTCACATATGAGCTGGCAGTGCGCTGTGTCACTACCAGATGATTCTTCTTCGACTTCAGAAACCGACTCTGCAAGATCTGCCTTTAATTGTGTAGCTATAAAAATATTTACATACATAATTTTATTATACTATTATTAATTATATATTTATTTTATAATATATATATTATTAATTACAAACATATATAATTTTATTTATATACATAATTATTTGTTGTTTCAGAAATACACACTCCGTGAATATTTCGTCTGTAAACTTTTTAAGGTTTTTGCGTATTGGTCACACAGTACTTCAAAAACGGGTAATTTATAAATATAATAGACAGCAGGGGCTAAGGAGTATGTAGTTAGTAGTAGTTGTAAGATTAGATATTGTTTTCACTTTAGGTAAATAAAACATCACGATATTATAGGATTAACTTCCTTTCAAAGCCACATTCTGGATCAATAGAATCAATAACAACGACGAGGTATTGACTCCATTGTTCAGAGAACTCAGTTACCGTAGGTCTAGGAATCTACCATGATACATAAAAAAATATAGTTGCGAGTAATTTGTATGGACCATGCACTCACGAAAATGCTTGGGCTTGGTTAGCTTGTGCCGTTTCTTGTAAAACTTTTTCTTACGCGGACGCAGCAGTTCTTCCGCGCCGCTGCTGGCGCTGCCGCTACTACCGGCGCGCTTGTTGCGTCTGTGTAATATATGCATATAATTACTATTTAAATAATATACTTTCAGATAACGTACATTCAGTAAATTTAAATATTTGATTCCATGTTGGACCGTTACATCTAAGCGGAGTCATCGCAAAGCTAAGGGCCAAGTATACTTCCTTGGGGCATGCCATGTTCCATTGCAAGATAGCAACTAACATGTTCATTTATCTTTAGACAATGTGTTCCATTAGTCACATTACGCTGGAAAAACTTCAGATGCTTTTCTCTAACATTAATTAACTCTAGTTTGAATATTAGTGCAGGGGCAGATAGCGGTTCAAATGCCTTAGTCAAGACTAGAAAAATGCCAATAAGATTAGTGAGATCATGACCAGCGTCATTGGTGGATATATTGCTACGAAAGCTAATGGATATCAGATAGAATGTTGTTAACATCAAAAAAGTTCTTAAAATGACTGTTCACAACACGCTTTAAGATTTGAGGCAGTGAAAGTGGTTTTCAACAGTCAGTCTGTAATTTATGACATGGTCTCTATTCTAAAACTTATATATGGGAGGTACGAGGGTCCTTTTTAAGAAGTGTGAAAAATCTCAATCAAGGACGCAGAGATTAAAAACAGAAGTTAAAGGAGCTGTTAGAATACTTCTGTATTGTTTTAGAAGGTTTAACGGTACAACGTCAATCCCACCTTTTCTCTTTCTACTGGCCACTCTTCTGTTTAAAAAAACCAGCCAGCAAATAAAGGTTAGAATAAAATGTATCAGCAATATTAGTATCGACACTAAATGTATTATTAGTATTGCCAGCGAGATCTTTAGTAGTAGTCTTTAAAATTTCTTTATTTGGTGCACGTTTCTCTGTGGTGACGTTTTAAGAATACGGAGTGTCACTACCCCGATTTATCCCGTGGGTGTCCTAAGAACTGACTAAGGGAGCAAAATACGCAGCACTGCAAAAAGAGAATAAACCTTAAAACCCTATACTGACCCTTCTTGCCAGTGTGGTATAGTAGGCCAAGACATTTCTAAGGAGAGGTTTATGCCTATTAGTGGACTATAAAAGGCTGTTGATGATGCATGTAATATTTTTATTCTATACATTGTAGAAAAATTACATCCAAACACAGAACAAATGATCATGTTCAACACATATTTACAAATTACATACAAATTTTTATGTTTAAGGTCATCTGACGGTAAGCCACTACCGCCGCCCGTAGACAACTGCAACTCAAGAAACCTAAGTGTATTGCGAGCCCTCCCCCTTAGGGTTGAGGGGGGGGGGGAGGGAGAAGCGCCCTCACTCAATCAGTGAAAAGCAACGAGAGTATTGCTTAACACCGGTTCCGAAGCAGGGCTCTAGTACAGCAAAATTATCAGTGATCGAAGAATCGACAACAATAGTTACCTATATCATTATATTTAGTCTTTAGTCGTTTCCAAAAACATTGTTTAAAAACTCGAAGCACTTTTCACGTCATAGATAGAAAAAATGAAAATCAAGTAACAATAGCCGTATACTGGGAAATATCTTAACAAGAAAAAATATAAACGAGGATAATATAAAAAGGTACAAAAATCTCTAGAAATATCAATAAATTTAAAACAAGATGTTACTTACATTGAGGTTCTACGATGTTTCACTATCGATTAGCGGCGAACAAAGACAGCTGATGGTAACATAACAAACATCTCACAGTCGTACCAACTCAACAGGCAAATTGCGTTCCAATACACACAGAATAAAACGTTATGTTTTCTGACATCTACCGAAACGTCACTTTTGACGTTTGCCATATCTTAACATGGCTATTCCAAATGATGAAATCCGAACTCGACAAACAAATTACTTACAATATAGAAAAAAAACTTGGAACCATTTTCGGTGGAGACTAACTATTTGATAGGTAAGATACAAAGATTGAATGAAAAATATTTAAAAGACAAAGATAGGAAGGATAATTCGATACTATCTTTACATGGTATAAAATGAAGTCTCTTTTCGTTCCTGTACGCTTAGATCTTCCAAACTAAGCAACGCATTTTAATGTGGTTTTTACCAATAGAGTGATTCAAGAGGAAAGGTTTTTATATATTATGTATAATAGATGCGTCTTATATTAGAGAAAATTCGAGAAAGTTTTTGTGCGCTTACTTTGCAAACCCTGGCTAAACTTTACGAGATAGATCAAAATAATGTACTACGGCATTGTATATCTTAAAAGGTTCTAAGTAAGAAAACATCCGGGATGGTATATGTCTATCTCTTAAACATAACCAACAGTTTCTATCTTCAACATAATAACATAATACAAAAAAAAAGGGTTATTTACGAAGCTATTCAGAGATCTTTAAAATAGCTTGTACGAAAACCTGAATAAAATTATGGACACATGCGAATGAAGAAAATATATGAAAAATACAAAACAACCACAAGAGTGGAAACAGATGATGTTTCGAACTACAGACCTATCTCGCTAATGTCTAATGTCGAAACAAAGGGAAACAAGGGATATATTTTTATGAAGAACACTTGAGGAGGTTTATGCTAGAGAACAAAGAATCAGGAAACCGTCTTATATGAGCATTATTATTTAAATTAACTTCCATAAAAGAAAAATATCTTTATAATGCTAAGTAGTAATAAGTTGAAATATCCATACCTCAAAATATGAAAGTGAGTTTTTTGTTTGTTACGCTTTCACGCCTAAACCACTAAGCCGATATTAAACATTCTTTCACCATTACAGTTAAAGTTACATTTTCAGCGAGTAACAATGACTAGTTTTTACCGCGATACCCGACATTCAAGCGGCCGGCGAGAGCCGCGTGCAAAAGCTACTAACTTATAAGATTGTTATTAATATTTTGTTAGTGTTATTATTAATACATGCCCAAGGCAGGTTTTATCATGAGAGGGTATAGTGAGGTTCAAATAGTCTTGTGCTTTCGAGTTCATGTTCTAATCATTATACATTATTATATATTTTTAAATGAGTTATTAAAGTTAAAGCCTGCTCTAAAGAGATTAAAAAAATGACCCTTAAAGAAAGGTCTATAAAATGAATTACTAATTTCGTATTTTTAATTCTAAGCAATTTTAGTTCATAAAACATACATTCATCAAATCATTTGTTACTTATGTTATTTTTAACGTTCACCATAATTTTTATTGCGAGTTTTGGTAGTCTTCAAAAACTTATACATGTCCAATGTAGAAATGCGAGGGTATTCTGCAAATGTGACTTGTATAAGACAATTTATAAAACTTGGACTCTTTACCTAAGCATTAAGTATTATTGTCTTGCTAAGTATTTTTGGTTGTCTTATTTAGATTATAAGTGTATTTCATTTGTATGTAACTATGATAAAATTACATTCAAAAACTAATAATCAAGTCGGTTACATTTGTGTAACGTGTCAATTTCTTGAGTTTAATATTTTTACTCGACATGCTAGAAAGATGGTTATCTTTTTCGAACGTTTGTGTCTAGATGTATATTTCTTTGGCATGCTCTGTAGCCTAACTAGATTCACTGGACTTGATGGATTTTTGCGTTTGAGGTGTCGTTAGATTCGTCTTAATTGTAAGATTGACACTGGGTACAAAATTAACTATGTAATTATTGAAGTAAGCGAAAAAAGACATTTTTGACTTAAAAGCTTGGCAAAAATTTAACCATTGACAAATCCAGCTGAAGTAGTATCCATTTTCTAACTAAACTAAAGAGCTTAGTAATATAGTTTTCGGGCCAGCTATATTAAGTTGGCCAGTATTTATTTATTTTTATGTATAAAAAAAACTGCGTCTCAAGCGTCGAGAAGCACTTACTTTTGGCAAGATTTAAGTGTAGAACATTCTTTTTTCGTCAGCTCTTCTCCTTCTCGTAACCATTCTTGTTCAGCTGAAAAGTAAGAAGTAAATATATAAAATAATTTTTTTACCTTAATAAACCTTTTGCCTGATGCTTAAAAATTTCATTAATCACAGGTTTTTTTTTGGAGGCTGCGGCTAACTGGAAACCGAGTAGTAACCTACTCGGTAAGGCAATCCTAACCAGGTCAGTCTTTGAATGGGTAACCATTCTTAATACATTGAGACCCCTCCGTGCCTCGGAGAACACGTTACCGTCATTTTCGATTCTCATACGACATCCATTCATCTGCTGCAATCACTACCGGTAGTTGGAGCCCCAAAAGGCCGACAACGGTCTATCTCAAAAAACTTCGATATCGCTTAGTACTTGGGTTATGACGGACTGACGGCGGTCGCTTCAAGTGAAAAAATCAAAGTTTAGCCGTGTCGTAGTAGACTGAAAGCCAACTGCAACCTAGTTTGGGAAAAGGCTCCGAGAAATAACTCACAGAAAGGTTTTAAAATATTGAAAAAAACTTTACTAATTTTCTTAAATGGACCAATCACAACGAGGCCATTGGATGACTGTGGTGCCTATAAATAATCCCAACACCAACAATTTTTAAACTATAAATGACATTCTTATTGCAAAAATAAAAAATAATAAAATTTGAATATGTTTAGCATTTCGTAAAACTCTACCGTAGAAATGGTTATTTATGAGTTATACCCACGGGCAAATACAAAGAGGTGTTTTAATTAGATTTCTCTATCAAACAACGAGTGAAAATTTGAATGGTGAGGGGGTGTTAAGCTCCGCCCACTTCACTTTTTTCCATCTACCAAATAATAGCAAAATTACTCGCATCGTTTTATGTCGATGTTGCTATTTAGTTTTGCTATTTCACACTTAGTGTAGGATGTTAGGGATGTTTTTAGTTTTTTAAGATTAATTACCACCTCTTTGTATTTGTTGGTAAAACAAGCTTTATTTACCTGTCAATTCTCGTTGGTGTTTGCTCTGTTTTCGCGGCGTCGGGCCTGCTTCCTCGCCCGATGTACTTAACTCCTCACACTAAGAGTTAAAAAAAAGTAGTCTAGTTTTTTATTGAAAATAATGCGATACTAACACGCGCCAAACGCCACACCTGGGACTTTAATATTGACAGATAATTCCATCAATTAAATAAACTAAATTATAATAAGGTCAAAGATGTTTATAAATATAATATCTTACTACCAATAAATCTGAGGAGTTAGTATTTTGATGGAATAAATTATCTGTAGAAGGAACAGTCAGTTTTGAAGAATTCTCGGGGAATGCTTATATTTAGGTAGTGGTACTAATAATCAAGTTGCAGTGTAGATGTCTGAAATGATTAGTTGAAGTTCTAGTAGTTTGATATGCCAATCCACGAAGAGCTTTATAGTCTCATAGATTAATCAACATCACTCTGCGACCCTTAGGAGCTCAACACTAGCCATATGCACTGGTAATACTGCAGTGAAGAGCTAGTGGCAGAGCAATAATTACATCAAAACTCACAGGATCGTCATCGGAGTTAGTCTGGTCCATGCTAACACTAGCTTCTGATGAAGAGTTGTGGTGTGGTTTACACGATGGCTGCGGGGGCCGCAATGGAGGCTCATCAGCGAGAGCCGGTGGAGTGCCCGCTCCGGCTTGTACACCTCCGCTGCCACGTGACCACATCGCACGCATCAACGCTGATGCTAGGTACAGACTCTGTAAATAGAATAATTTTATGCAAGTTAGAAAACTTTAAACAGCTTTTAAAATGTTCAGAAATAAATTATTTTCTAAAGGTATTTTATAACAAGTTCGTAAAAAAAAAATAGTAACAACAATTTAAGACACCACACCCACGTACAGAGCAGGGCCTATTCTTAGATAGGCCTATTTTTAGTGTTTCGTGAGTTTTGTACATATAATAGCAGAGAGTGAGTGACTTTTCTTTAATCAATATGTCACGCATTTAAAAATTAATACAAAGGCTACAAAACAAAATGTTGTCATGTTATGGTATGGCAAGTTTAAATAATAATAAAAGTACATGTTGTACTGGTAAAGAAAACAAAACATTAAAAGGTGAAGAAATGATTTTGCAATTTTCTAGTTAATAATTTCATAGGAACACATTACACTTTTTATGAGAATATTGCATAATGTCATTAAGAGCAAAGCAATTATGAGACTTTTTCATAATTTTAATACTATCCCATATTATATACAGTTCAGAATTAATTTATTATTAAAATATTTTTTTGAGTCATAGAAAGTTTACACAGCCTAGAGTATTTAACCACTTTTCATATTCATATAAAGACAATTTTAAATGAGAAAGGCTAATTATAATTTATTATTCTAAACAAGTATTTTATTGCACACATTTAGTGAAGTGGTTGCATAATTATGCTAACAAGTGGATTTCAATTGGCGTAAAAGGTGAGACTTGAACTGGACATTAAAATAGTAACTGAGAAGTAAACATTCTTTTGACTGGCCGGTTAGTCTACTGGTTAGTAGCCCTGAAGGCCGATTCTCATAATAAAAGATCGGTCACAATTCAGTTCGGATCAACTCTCGATCTCACAACTGTCACAAAAGGTATTTTCAGATCTACTCTGAAAATACCTTTTAACAACGTCGGATGTGTAATACTCTAGTATTACACATCCGACGTTGACTGTAATGTGGTTACATCCTATTGTAACCGAAAATTGATTGGTAATCTGCTAGTCTTAGTAATGCTTTACTATTTTGCTATGAAAATACCTTTTTTGACAGTTGCTCACAAGAGTTGATCAGAACTGAATTTTAACCAAACTTTTAGTACGAGAATTTGCCTTCTGACTGCCTGGACAAGCGTGTGCTGAGCATGATCATATCTGGCTGGATGTAATTTATTGATAATACATATATGTATGGTATATACGTATGATATATCTACAGTATGTATGTATTTAGAAGTATTTAAGTATGTTTATCAGGAGTCTGGTTACCATAGCCCAGGCTTGGCCTAGTTGGGGATCAGACTGAGGTGTGTGAGATGTATGAAAGTATTATTATTATTTTAATTAAATAAAAAAAAAATATAACAAAATGATTTACCTGTTCTGTGTGTTCTTTAGGTGGTAATGAACAGAGCAAACTGTAAAGATGCGAGCATGGTTTAGGAGCGAGTGCGCGGATGAACCCCGGTAGCAAGTCGTGAACCTGCCGACCACAGTGCTTTAGCTGCGCCGCCGCCCATATCAACAAAATGTGGTCTGGAGTAATGCGACCTTCTACTGCCAGGAACTTTAAGATCATATGAGATTGCTTTATAACCTGTGGACAAAAACTGCTGTTAATATATATATGTAATAATAATATATTTTTATTTTTTATTTATTTCTTCTCGCAAACATACAATAACAGTTTATTAGTAACAATATTCTTATATCTATTATATCTACATAAAGTGAGCAATAAATCAACTCCTAAATATTTACCGTCATACATACGCAGGTGTCTGATTTGGGTTTCAAACCTGTGCAACAGATCACCCACCCACTAATCCCAAGTAAACAATGTAGGGTTTTACTTCATACATTTTTATCGCTGCATATGTTCTTAATATGCAAACGTCTACTGCAGGGATTCCCAAAGCGGTCCATATCGACCCCTTGGGATCGAAATCGGTTTCCCAGGGGTCGACAAAAATGAAAACTAATTTTGGGGGCGACGAGGCCTATAATCGACCCCCATTATTTATAACACAAGTTCTTATTTGAAATTGTTAACATAGTGTATTAGTTGCATTACGTGTATGTATATATGTATTATTTGTTATAAGAATCACCAATATTTTAGTAGGAAGTATCATTTGGCACTTTAAAAAAAACTCAACAGTTGCTAAGTGTGCAGTAATTTGGCTACGTGGCTCTGAGGTATCAGTTGATTTTAGAAAACGGGCCTCTGGCCCAAAATAATTTGGGAATCCCTGGTCTACTGCATGCATACGTAAAGTAAACACATCTCTACGTTGCACAGAAAAAAACAGCACTCTATTTTCAATCCCCTGTTTATTTTGGAATATTCTTTTAATAGCTTTTTTTTTGGTTTATCAATACTATAAATTGTAATCAATCATGGCACAAATATGTCTTGTATGCGTTAATAGTATTTTTTTCCCATTCATTAATGTCTAATTTCGTTGTTTGTATCTTAATATATGCCATTATCATATTCCTGCAAAATGTATCAATATTTAATACGGACTTACTATTTTAGTGTGTGTGTACACACAAACAGTATCAATATAATAACAGAAATAAATTGAAACATATAGGATCTTGAATGGACATTATGACCTTCAAGAGTTTGATAAAATATTCATACACAATGACATTACCCATGTAAGAACCCACAATCTTAAGCTTTGTACCAGCTACTTGAACATCAATGCTCACAAACACTTTTTAAGCAGTCAGTGTGGAACAAACTCTTATCCTATTAAAAATATATATAAAATTAACTTATCCACCCAAAGTGTGAATAAATTGTAAAATCTATTCAACAAAAATATTTAATTGAATCTGAGAAGAACAACTTATAGGAACTATCAAGATACAGGCTTTTATCAGTTATTTCAACTGGGTGCCTGTGAATATAATAATATAATAGTAAAAACACACAAACCTCCACATGCAAATTAGGTCCAAATAAGTGTTCAATGATGTTGTTATAAGTCAGCCAGGTTGCAAGTCGTTGTCCAGCTATTTCAGCATCAGCAGCTGGTTCACCAGCACAAAGTTCGTTGTGTGCAGCAATGTGCGCATTAATCTGTGCCACACCAGCTAGGCGCATTGTCAGTGTGCTGCTGTTGAAGTACTTGAATGCTAATGCCAAACCATCGGCATCAAATGCAAGAGGTGCTTCTAAGGGCTCTTTAGCTGCTCCCCACATAAAATCTACAAAAAGTAGCAAAATTGATTAAAAGTTATATTTATACTAGCTGACCCGTTGTTTTGCCATATACATTTAGTAAAAAAAAAATTGGGGTATGAAAAATAGATGTTGGCCGATTATGAGACCTACCCGATATGCACACAAAATTTCTCGAAAATCGGTTGAGCCGTTTCGGACGAGTTCAACAATGCACACTGTGACACGAGAATTTTATATATTAGATTAAAAAAGAAGGCAATTTTAACATACTTATTAACATTCATTTCAAAAGCTTAACACTAACTATAGGTTACTGGTTGATTAGTCTAATGGTTAGTGATGCGGACAGCTGAACCCCTAAGCCCGGTTCAATTCCGATATAGGACCAATAATTGTGATGAGTATGTTCATTCACAAGTATATAAATATGTTTTTAAGCAATCAAGCAGCAGATTCGTCAAGTTACTGTTATGATCATTAGTATATTGTTCCTTTTTCAACCAAACCTTTTTGTGCTTAAAGTGAATACAGCATACTCATATTGAAAATACATAGTACAATAACATTATACCTAATCTTTAACACCAAATTTACTTTAACTATTTTTGGTATCTACACCACCAAGCAATGAGAAGCAGTGAGATTTGTGTTGCAAGATTCACATTATTACTTTAATGCATATTAAACAGCCTTACCTGCCATGGATTTGACAGCTGGAACTCTAAGATCTTTATCATCCAAGCTGCACATGAACTTCAATATTTTACTCCTCAGGGGCATGAAAAGTTGAGCTACAGCTCTAAAGTTTAACCATAGTTTGAGATTGCCAACTGCTGCCACAATAGCGTGTGCCATGGAAAGTGGCAAAGTAGACGGTGTAGCACAATCAAACACTGAAGTCATAGCACAAACTCCTCCAAGCTTACAGAAGAGACTAACATTACGAAGCAAATAAGCCGGTATCTCAGTATCATGTAGGTCACAGTATGAACTTAAATTTGATATTTCTTGAGCAGATAAGTCATCCAAGCGACTGAGAGCTGAGTGTTTACATGCTAAGTACAGTGGAAAGTTTAATAGAAACACTTTAGACACAATGTGCATAAGCTTTTCTTTTTGCTGCATCGACCATACTTCAGCATCTTCAGCTGGGACAAGAGGTATCTCAACATCTTTAGGCTCTTCTGGGCTCTCAGGTGGAGGCTTTGAGATATCTGTTTCTGGTTGGATCTCATTTTGTTCATTGGATTTATCATCACAGTTGGAGGGACTGCCTGGTTCAGATTTCTGTTTATCGAGTACATTGTCAGGTGCTGGAGCTGTTTTAGCTGCTTCCAAAAGCTCATCTTTCAGTTGCTTCAGTTGACACACACATAAGCACAATATGCTCTGTACTACAAGATAGAACCTTTCAAAATTCTTTACATCACGATAGCAGCACATACATTGCCTGAAAAAAGATTTAAAATATAATGTTCTTTAAATGTCAACCAATGAGACTGATGAAAGTATATGAATATAAGGTCAGATAATGGATTGAATTTTATCGAAGACTTAACAACTTTTAAATTAGATATTTTGGTACATAAATAGAAGTAAAAGAGGAATATACATTCCTCATTTACTGTGCAAATTTTGTAAACATTTACAATACAAGACCCAATCAGAATCTCAAACAAAGCAGTGGCTGGACTGTTGTATTTTAAACGATTACTTATGAATATTTTGTGTATAAAGGATTACCAAAAATTTCTTACCTTTGTGGCCATGAGAGAATGTAGTTCAGCACTGTTTCTAGTTCCGATTGGCTTATTGTTGGATACTGGGACACATCGTCGGTTAATCTTGATTCACCTAAAATCACAATGTTACAGTGTCCCATAAGTCCATAATAATTTAGTTTTGCATAGGGCGAATAGTATTTCAAGGTATTTATTTTCAAATAACGAAGACATAAAGAAGAGCAAACGGACTGCTAAATTTCGAAACAATGTAACTTACAATTTACTAAAAGCTGTGAAAACTCCGAACAAACATCACACATTCTTAATGTTTTATGTCAAGATAGAGCGAAATATTATTGCAATATAATCGCACAGGTATTTTTTAGTGAATTATTGATCATTATTGATATTTTTCGTATCAGAAACGAATACTGCCATAAAATGTCACGGTATCCGTTCCACCATTGTTGACGATTGTTGTCAAAACTACGTTTTGTTGTCCATTTGAAATAAAATGATAATCATGCCTAATTTATTGTAAAATCCAACGAATAGTATTAACCAATAAACAAATCCATGAATGCATATGCTCTTACAAGCTGTGATTAATATTCATAGCTTTTGCTTAGGTACAGACGAAAACAACTATTGGTTGAATTAATAGAAGTAATTCGACTAAAGAACTATCATAGAGTTATTACTCAATGCTCAATGTTGTTGAATTGACTTTGACACTTGTGATTAGAAGAAAGGATGACATAAAAAAAAATAAAGTCGGCTCGGCAGTTAAAGAATAAGATATGGGTTGATTTTTGATATTGATATTTAGTATCTTATTAGAAGAAATGGTCCAATTACTGTATATAGTTGCAAGTTTGCACGTTTTACTATGCCCATTTACAAAAGTAGAAGAAAGTTTTAATATACAAGCTACTCACGACGTTTTATATCATCGAAATAACCTATCACAGGTGTCTAAAAGATCTAAATTTGGATTCGTGTCGCTCGCTGTAGCAATTTATTGATTACAATTTTTTTCAGTATGATCATAACGAGTTTCCAGGGGTCGTGCCAAGGTCATTTATCGGCCCTCTAGTAATTTCAGCCATATCAGCCCCTATAGTAACGTTATTTCATGTTACCGGAATCAACAAGTTTTGGATGCAATATGTAGGTTAGTTGGTATACATTCCGAATTTTTAAACCAAATCAATTATATTTATTTTATTTAATGCTATTCATTAAATTGCTTTGATTTTTTTGGCAACAAAAATAAAGTTTATTGATGATTTGAAATTGGGCTCTTATTATATTTGTACATTTCCGTCACACACCTCCAATACCGTGTCCTATCATTCTTTTAAAAAAAAATGTATTTATAAAGGGACATCCATTGTTAAAGCAGAACCATCAAGAAATATCTTGCCCTGACTTTCCAGTGTGTACAATATTGGGATTTAAAAAGGGGAAATAAAACATCCTACTATCTAAGATAATGTTAAAATACAATTAGTAAATAGTATTAACTAGATAATATTGTTATTTCAGTTCGCTTAATGCTTGCACTGTCAGTAATAGCAGCATGGAGTCGGTTGAGGAATGCATTACAAAAACAATTTGGAAACACATTTGCCTGGTGGTTTACTATCATCACTGTCACTCAGTATCATTTCATGTTTTATATGAGCCGGCCATTACCTAATATTATGGTGCTACCATTAGGTGAGTTATGACTTAGAGACTATGTAAATAGTGTAAAAAAGATAGTCCAACATCAAATAGTGAATAGCCATCTTTTACCAATATTTATGAGACAAATAGGTGCATTAGTAGACAGTAGAAGTAGGCAGAGAGAACATAATTATGTGGAGGTTCTAAATAGTGGGTAAATACTCAATTTACTCTGATAAATCTCTAATCACATCTTTTATTTTTTGCAAATTTACACCTTAGTTTGCAAGCTAACTGCAGTATTTGTAATAAAAATGGAAAACAACAAAATCATTGTTAGAACAATTGTAGTAAAGAAGTATCAAGTAATTGTACATTATCAAAAATAATAGTTTACAATACCAACACCAACAGGTTATTTAATTTTTTGATAAACAGTCAAAAAAATTGTGTTGATTTTGTTTGTAATTAAGGTAAATTGTATTATAATAAATCACCCAATCTGCTCATATGTATCATAGAGGGGTGGGAGGCTTAGGTACTTTTTAGCAAAAAGCCGAAAATGTAGATTAGGAATTCAATGTTTATCATCCAGACAAGCTTCATCAAATTTGCTACACATTTGCAAATATTGAAAATTTTTGTTTTTTTTGTTTTAGTGCTATTGTCATTTGAAGGTTGGCTGAGAGGTAGACCGAAGTTGTTTATAGTATCTGCTGGAGCTTCAATAATCATATTTAGGTCTGAGCTAGCTATGCTTTTCGGATTGTTCCTCATCATAGATTTATATTTCAGGAAAATTGACTTAAGAACGTAAGTTTATTGTTTTTTACAGCATTCTATTTCATGTTTATAATGTTTCAAATTGACTTCTAGAGACAATTAAACAAAATACCTGTTCTGGGTGTAAATTTACATAAATAGCCTACTTAGAGAAACACCAATCTGTTTCCAGCAAGCCAGCCTATCTCAGTATATGTATGGTTAGTACCATAGTACCAGCTTGCAGAAAATAGTTTGTGCTGTTTAAAATATACTACTCTGTGTAAAAAGTATCGGGAATATGTCAATAAAAAGACCCGCGTAAAAGAGGTCGTTCTAATTTTTTTACTGCATGTTGGTAGCACTGTACTGATTAAGCGCGCAAAATTTGAGCGGGATCTGTCATTTAATTTGTTTTAAACTACACTTTTTGTTGGTGATAGTTTTGAGTCCTCGGCGATTTTTACAATGGAAAATATTGTTGAACAAAGAGTGTGCCTTAAATTTTGTGTTTCGAATGATATTTCTTGTGGTGAATCACTAAAAATGTTGCGAAATACCTACGGCGAATCGTGTATATCGAAAACAAGGGCTTATGAATGGTATAAGGCTTTTAAAGAAGGCCGAGAAGTAGTAGTAGACTTGCCACGTTCTGGTAGACCTTCAACCGCTACGACCAAAGAAAACATCGACAGAATCAAGAAGCTAGTGCTCGAAAAACGACGTATGAGTCTGAGAGAGTTGGCTAGTGAGGTGAACATATCTTTTAAGTCCGTCCACAACATTCTCATTGACAATTTAGGCATGAAACGCGTCGCCGCTCGACTAGTTCCAAAAGAGCTTAATTTTGTTCAAAAAGCGCAGTGAAAGCATGTCGCTGAAGACATGGTTTCCCGAGCTTCTACGGATCCGACCTTTATGAAATGTATAATAACTGGTGACGAGACATGGGTTTATGAGTACGACATGCAAACAAGCCTACAGTCTTCAGAATGGCGTCTCGAAAACGAGCCGAAACCAAAAAAACCGCGGCAAAGTCGCTCCAAAATCAAGGTGATGCTGACAGTTTTTTTTTACTACCGTGGTGTGGTTTACTCCGAATTCCTTCCAGAGGGAGAAACAGTGAATAAGGAATATTATTTAGGCGTCATGAAGCGTTTGCGTGAGAGTATCCGCCGAAAACGTCCAGATTTGTGGCAACACAACTCATGGATGCTGCACCATGATAATGCACCATCACACACAGCCATTATAGTGAAAAAGTTTTTAGCGAAAAATTCAACAAAAGTTCTCGACCAAGCACCGTATTCACCTGATATGGCTCCGTCTGACTTTTTTTTATTTCCCAAGTTAAAATTACCACTTCGAGGAAAACGTTTTGAGTCGATAGAAGCCATAAAAGAAAATTCGCTGAATGAGCTAAAGGCCATACCGCAAATAGCCTATGAAAAATGTATGGAAGACTGGGTGAAGCGGTGGAGATGTTGTATTGCAAGCGATAGGGCCTACTTTGAAGGCGATAAAATAAATTTAGATGAATAATTTGTATTTTTAGTTTTATTGACAAATTCCCGATACTTAGTACACAGAATGTACATACGCAAAAATCAATTTAAAAGTTTTGTAGTAAATTCACTACTCTTTTTGCACTAACAAGAGAAAAATTGATAGAAATTAATCGTAATTTGAAGATTATTGCTAGGCTCGAAAATAGAATCATTTATTCACATAAATAGAATGCACATATTCTACTAATAGAAAAGTATAATAACATTAAAAACCCTATGATTTTATTAAGAGTAGCGACATTTAATATTTTATAATAAAAAACTATTAAACTTTCAGGCTATTCAAGATAGCAGTACCAGCAGGCATTGGACTGATAGGACTTACTATAGCTATAGATTCTCTGTTTTGGAGACGGCTGCTGTGGCCCGAAGCAGAAGTCTTTTGGTACAACACCATCCTTAACAAGAGCTCTGATTGGGGTGTATCCTTTGTAATTTTTTTTTTTGCCAATCTGCAATCAGTAGACAACTATAAGCAGATAAGTGGTAGGTTTCGGCAGGTCGATTGCGTCCTCCTGTGAGGGCAACTACTCCTTACTTCTTCATGTCTCCTCTTCTATTATAACACGTCTTTTCTTTTAAGACGTTTTTGATAGCTGCGGGTAATAAGACTCGCCGTAAGTGCATTCGGGTGGTTTTCTAGCCGTATTTGGTATTTTTGCGTGGCAGCTTGAATTTCTTCTCCCACAGTGTCCATATTTAGGTGTGTGTGAATTTCAGAGTTGGTGATGAAAATAATATCCCTTTTAATAACCACAGTGATGTTCCGCACTGTCTAAACTTATTTCATTACTATATCTTGGAAATAAATATTTCTTTATACAGTGCTATTGAAAACTATGGTATGTTTCTTAAATTGAAATAATCTTTCAGCATTGTTTTGAAGACAAAAATAGTTATAAATATCTATGAATGTATATTATAAATATATAAACGAAGACAGTATGTCGACTAAACATAGATCAAAATATTTCAAACTACAAACATAATAGTCAATATTTCAATAAACACAAGATTTGTTAAAAATAGGAACTAACAATGATTACTTTGGCTCATCAATAACTTTACAAAAAAAGTTAACATACGAAAAAAGGCGTTACGGTCTTTACTTGCGTACCTATATTTATGTATGTGGATAATCTGTGTTAAGTCTAATATCCTACGTATGCTGCCCTTTTTTTCTATGCGGAGATCCGCTCGGATACGACCCACCGCGCAACCGGTATATAATCCCCCCGATTATGTCGAATCGAGTTCGACATAATCTCCTCACCGGTTGCTTGGTGCACGGACGTAAAGCCGCAAGCCGTCTCGGGTACCAGTCGTCTGGCAACCAGGTGTATCCTAGAAAGTAAATCCCTGGTACTCTTACGGACCCTGGGCCATCTACGTCTTGTAGATTACCGCCTCGTGTGTGAGAACCACGATGTTCTCTTTCTACTCCCTAAAGGGCAGGCGCTCCGCATCGCATCGGGCTGCCACCCCAGCCTGCTTTTGCTAGGGTGACAAATGGCCTGATCTATCACTACCAGGCCTACGCTTATGGAGCTTATTTAGCGACCTCCGGCGATCGAGACACGCAATCATGGTACCGAGCGAGAGAATCTCCACTCCGATGGCCGTCACGAAGTCAAGCTTCTGCTCCACCCACGCCGGGCATCTGGAGCGCCGTGTCCACGGTCTGGCCATCGCAAGGGTCTCCAGATGCTGCCCTAACTTTAATGTTTGGCAATATTAAAAATATGACTAGAAAGTTTAAGCTGCTACAATTTTGTCTTGTAGATACTTACATAAGATTATTTAATAAATTTCATAACTATACAACAGACATCACCATTTCTGTGGTACTTTTACTCAGCACTACCTCGTGGACTTGGGCCCAGTTTAGTTTTAATCCCACTTGGAATGTACTTGGATAAGCGGCTGATTCAGTTTGCTGCGCCGGCATTCGTTTACATTTTACTGTATTCATTTTTGCCGCATAAGGAACTTAGGTTTATAATATATGTCTTCCCTTTGCTCAATATGGCGTCTGCTGCGGCTTGTACGTATATGTAAGTAAAAGTTTGGTTTACTAAATAAATATGATCGTATTACACTTAACGCTAACTTGTAGAATATAAAATCATTTGTTACACAGTTAAAAGTTACTTGTTACAACGTTAAGCACGTTTGGAGAGCCATGCTTCTTCACAAATGAACAGGCTCGACCGAAGCCCGGTGTGTCCGGCAGTACAGGTGTCCATGGGCGACCCATCTGCTTGTTTGCCCCTCGATACCGTAAAAAGAAGTACGAACTGAGGCAAAACACGCCCATGTTTCTAGTCACTAAAACTGAGGGTAAAATAGAGTGAGCAAAGAAAAATTAAGAGATTTGAGATTGATTTGAGAGTTTGTCTCATACTTTTGTAAATATAAATAAATATAAAAAGCTGATGTATCCTGATATGTCATTGTAACAATATAGACATAAGTAGCTTTTCGCCGCGCTCATCGTAAGTTACTTTAAGCCTGTAATATAAATAAATATTAAACTACATATGTTATTATGTCGTTGTTTCAGATATGTAAGACGAACGAAAGCCCCCATTTACGAATTACTATTTTGGGGCACAATTGTAATAATAATAGGTAACATTATAATATCATTAGCATTCACTTTGGTAGCTATGACGAATTATCCTGGTGGAGTGGCTATTACTAGGTATGTACTTTCATATTTTCTATCAAAATATAAATCTTCAATTATAAGGAAAAAAATCTTCAACCATGTATGACACCTCAATAACAACCAGCAACCCAATAATTTCCTTATTATTATTATGATAATTTAATTTACTCAATATTTTTATAGTCAGCTAAATCTCTATTTGAATGTGTGTATAGACGTTAGCTCACACACGATCAATATTAGTTTATAAATACTAACACAATTTATTAACAAGGAGAATAATAAAATAGTATCTGAACACGCTACAGTAGTTTCACTACATTGGTGACCCCGACGTGATTTCACCAATGTAGTTCCACTACATCTTCCATAATTATTTTTGTTTTTACAGTCAAAATATTTTTTCACTGTTTATACAGCTAAGTTGTCAAATAAATACACATCCTGCCCGATGGTAAACGATTAAATATATACACTGACCCTTGTACAAAAGAGGTGAAGTAGATGTCACAATGCTAAGAGAGCTTAAGAGAGCAGCCTTCGAGGCATTTGCCGCTCGCAGCTGCTCAGCATGTGTGGATCCCCGGCCGAGGCACCAACTGCTGTCTGTTTTTTGTTTTGCTCTAAGGCGCCTTGCTCGTTTGCCGCGCGCATTCTGGACGCACGCGTGTTTGATAGCGACCTTTGAACCTTGACCTTTTTGAAATGCGAAAGAGATACTGCATTTTTCTGCCATGATGTCTTAACTCTCAACTGAACGAACGAACGAATGGCACGGGCTAGCCGCGCTCAGCAACGCGCGTTTAATAATCATAAGTACACCCGTATTGCTATATGTATAAACTCGGACTTAGATAGTTTGGAGATACCATATATCAAGTGGAACTCAAACTCAGCAAATCTTCTGTGCTCCTCCACCTCATTCCAAAATCTAAATGTTATAAAAATGTAAAGCTAAACATTTTAACGTTTCAACAACTTCTACTATTTCAACCTTATTATACGAGTAAAGGCACTAATTTCATCTTTCTAATATTGAAAAATAGACGAAAATGATTTATTTTTCTAATAACAATTGTTGCAGATTCCATAAACTTTTGAAAAACGAACCGTTCGTCCATGTCCATATTTGTAATTTGGCAGCACAAACTGGTGTAACTAGATACACCCAAATTCACGATCGCTGGACATATAGTAAAAACGAATCTTTACAACCAGAACAATTACAAGAATATACCCATCTTCTTGTTGAAGCAAAAAGCAAATATTCACCAAATCTCAAATATTTTACACAAACACATGTTATTTTAGATAGTATAGAATCATTTTCCCAGATAGCCATGAATTATAAGTTGATGCCGCCGATACGAATTAAAACTAAACCAGCTTTATTTATACTAGAAAGGATAGATTTCCGCGAAAATCCACATGGATACGGTTCTATGGACTTAAAATCAAAGGAAACTATACCTCAAATAAGTGAAGAAACTGTTGTAGAAGAAATTGATTATGAAAATATCGAAGAAAAGACTATTCCTGCAGAATCTAAAGAATCTATAAATATAGTGGAAGAAAAACTTGACAGAAATGAAGAACAAAGACAAGAAGAAGTAGTTCATAATGTAGAAATATTTGAAGATAAAATTGTACCTAAAGTTGAAATAGAAGAAAAGAACTTAAAAGAAGCAGAAAATGAATCGATATCACAAGAAAATATAATCGGCAATTCAAAATTACACAAAGCTAAAAAAGCTATTGAAGATTTAAAAATATTAAGACAGGAAAGAAAAAAGAAGGCTATAGAAAAAATTAAACTAGAAACTCGAAAAGAAGTTGTGGCATCAGCGAAAGAGAAACTGAAGGAAATAATGAAACGTCACAAACATATTGCTGACGAACTATCAAATAGTATTATTTCTGATGTTACAATAGAATTGGAAGAACAGGAAAAAGATGGTAGAGGAGATATACCCAATATCGAATCTATTGTTCAAGAAAATAATGATGCTCCTGAAACAGAAAGTCAAGATAAAGAAACACCAGAAACAGTTACAGATAATATACTATCTGATAGTCCTACAACAGTTAAGAACGAAAACGTAGATTCTATTGTAGAAGAAGTCATAGTCAGGTTAATAGACAGGAAAATCTATGATGACAAAACAAAACCTGAAGATATCAAAGCGGAGGATAGGCTAATGATACAAAAAATTGTTGAAGAAGTTTTATCAGAAAGAATGAATTACTCTAATGTTGATACTAAGTAAACAATATAACCCATTGGTCCTGTTTTGTTTGCATTTGATCTCGTTATATAATGGGCATAGTGAGAGTAAGATTTAGTAATATATATTTTCTTTACATTTAGTCCTTCAGTTCTGTACATAACCGTCATGACCATCAGCGCTAGCTCATGAAACGCACGCGCGATTCATGGACTAGCGCTGGATTTACTGTATAGAATACCGCCTAACAGTCCTCTCGTTTCAAGAGCTTGGGACCGACAAGTTTACGAAAAAGAATGTGGCTAGTGGCTACGGGACTACAGCTATTATCTAAATTAAGATTGTAACCTTGTCTTGGCGTTATATAAAATTCCTAAAACCGTCTTGCTCGTCTATGCCTATTTATCAGTGTTAGTGTGATTTAACTGTATTAACAATGACGGCTTTTATTGTAAAAAGTACCTTTAGTCTTTTGATTTTGTTACTTTTTGCAATACATTTGAGGCGTATTACTATTATTATTTTATGCTTGAATGATCGTTTGCATTTTTAATATGAAGTTGATCGATTGTAGCAATTTTCTAGTCTAAAGAGATGTAAGTGCAATTTTTTATAAGATTTTTACTACATTACAATAACTATATTACACTTTATTCATGTAAGCTAAAACTACGTTCACTGTCATATCACATCATTGTTAAAATTTCCTTCCAGTTTAGTAGTCATTGTTTTACGAAAATATGTTGACTTGTAATTATAACTTTGGAAGTATTTAGCCTAGTTGACAAACATCAACAATATTTCCAAAATTCGACCCAATTAAATTAACCTTGCTCGGGGCTCTAGATTTATTTATATTTTGTAAGTAAAGTTGATTGGCACGATTAGATTTAACATAATGTCAGCCCAAGACTATCGTAGCATAACTGGAAATGTAATCGTAACGTTAATATTTCCTGAACTTGTTCACTTGTTTTTGTGATGCAGTAGAATAATTGTACATGCCACTTACACTGGCTTGGCCACTATTATGAACTTTACTTTAGTCGAAATTTGTTGCCAAATATCAGAATTTGTCGCTCACTGGTTCGAAAGTTATAAGCGTTTATAGGTGGCCCCTGCTGGGGGGACAAAATACACAAACCAAAAATATAATGTTAAGCTCTAATTTACGTTAGAATAATAAGACTTCTGTTGCCGAAATAAGAATATATGTACATAGACGTTAAAATTATCGTACCTTTAGTAATATATTTAAAATACGTAAACGTATGTATTGTAAGTATATAATTATCAATCTATTTCTTAAAATATACTACAATACATTGCAAAAAACAACCTACCCTTACCTAATCTTAAATCAGAGATAAATACTTAAATTCCTGATAATATTATGTGCGTTGGCTTTTATTAAGGTTAGAATAATGAAACTTCTTTCAAAACATTTTGTAGTGGTCCAAATTGTGAATCTAAACTATTCTCGAAACCACTTGAACACACACAAAATATTTCATTGAAATCGGTCCAGCCCTTTAACCACGAGCTAAGAGGAGCACATACACACGCACAGAAGAAGTATATCTATACAAATAATTTTATATGTAGGGCAATTTTTAATTGGCCCTCACCATGTTATTCTTTTTTCTTTGTTTTATTTCTAAAATAAACAAAAAATAATAAATGGGTGTGCATTTTATTTTGCCATAAGTGCGTAAAGCGATCCCCATTCGGCTACCAAACGCTCAAGATCGGTGCCGGTAAGTACACGAACATTTTTACCTTTTAGGTAAATCATATATTCTTAATTTGGTAAAGCAGGTGTATACAACTGTGTATATTGGCACCAGACCAAGAGCAAGGTTTAATGTTTTTAAAGAAGTTTAAGTTATTCTAACCTAGTCATTTAAAACATACTGTATTTAATGGTTTTTTTTTTTCTTGGCAATTTTTCGTACTCTTCGATCTTAGACTACACAGACTTTAAAAATTGAAATATCTTTTAAACTAAGACCCGAGTAAATCTATGACAAAAAAATTGCGAACAATTAACGACTAAATTTGGGAGCAAACAGATCTTCGCTAGGTGCCCTAGTTTTTGAGATATAAGCGTGGCCAACCTGGAAAGATTTTTCCTAGATCGGCCACCTAGAAACGCTTATCACTTTTGAACCAGAGACCGACAAATTCTGATATTTAGCGACAAATTTCGACTAATTAGCGACTACATTTTCGTGTTATTAAAATTAAAAGCCATCATGGTAACCAAGCCAGTGTCAGTCTAATTTTACAGCAAAGGCTTTTATAATAAGGTAGCCATTTTAATTGGTTTTTATTTTAATACAATTACGTCACTTTTATATATATATTATATTATAATATAACTTCGGATTTATGAGAAATAAAAGTGCAATTATGTTATAGTAGGTGTTTTATTTATCGAGTTTGTAATAGGTACAAATGGCAATAAACCTTTGATGAACATACATCTAATCAGTCTAATAAGGCATAAAAAGTAATAGTCCACTAGATTAGACAGGTACGTAAGTACACGGCATCCAGAGCTTATATCTAAATAAAAAAAATACATGCTAAGTAATTTAAATTAAAAATATGGATAAGGTTCCACTGAATTACGTCTACATTTTTCGTTTCAGCAGCTTTTAAGTAAACATTTTTCAGTACGTAACAGATGACAACCTTGATGATTCCATACTTCATTCAATATATAATATAAGTATTAAATAAAATATAAATCTCTCTTACAGCGAACATTGCCTACAACTTTAATTTAAATATTATCTATTACAATATATTTACTGTACGATGTATGGTATTGCTATAAATAACAGATGTAAATATTAATATTTTATACTCTATTTCATCAACAATGGTTTTATTCAGTATTACAAGAAATAAATGATAATCTAATGTAATTTTTAACATTTTATCACTTTTATATTTTGTTGTGTTGTAGATGCATCCAATATATAATTGAAGAAATCGAATATATAATGACATATATGCAATAAGACAGTTGGGTTAGTATAAATTTGTATCTAACCTAAATATTGTACACAAAATATTCTTTAAACATTTTAATTTACTCTTATTCATACAACACTCACATTAACTGAAATGACAATTAAACTTTAACCAGTCAGTGTGCAAAACAGCAGATTGTCTTTAGTTGGCATGCAAAGTGAAATAACACTACTTAATTCAGAAAATTTTCAATTGGTGTATATACGTAGTTACTTGACCATAATAGTATACAATAAATTGTATACTATGCAATATATTGTATACTATTATGGTCAAATGACTATGTATGGAGTCATCGTTTAAAGAACAAAGCTTTACAAAATTAGCACTGATCTTACACACGAATTGAAAACTTTAAGTAGTATTATTTCGCTTTGGATGCCAACTAAAAACCATCTGCGTTTAGCACACTGCCTGGTTGAAGGTTAATTGTCATTTCAGTATAAAGTATAATTATATATGTTCACATAACGGCACATCATAAGATATCATTAACTTCTTACCATAATAATATAAAACTGACTTTAAAATTGATCTTTTTTCTTATGTGTATATATTATAATTTTGAGAAAGTTGAGTATTTTTTCTTTCACACTGTTTAAAAATATTTGTGTGCTCATGACAAACTTATAGAAACTAAATGTAAAACTTAAGTGTACACTTAGTAGCTAGTATGATAAGACACTTTAGTACATTAAAGTAGTTTCAATATTCTAAACGTTTCAACTACGTTTTCTTTGTACTAACCTTTACACATGAAACTTATATGTCTAAAAGCATTCTCCAGTCGAACCTCCCTGAACTGGAATTAACCGAAGGTGGGCAAGGTGGGCATACAACATGCCAAGGCTTCTCCCTTAAAGCTCCCAATGCGCAGTATGGTACTTTCATTAGGTTGCTGACGAAACTGTACGGGGGGAACTCGGGTTGAGGGTTGGAGAGACGCTTTAGAGCTGTGGCAGTAGTGTCTAGCGTAGCTGCGTGACCAACAAATATTATGTTCCCTCCTGCAAAATATATTATTAGAATCAATCGTACTGAAATGAATAAAGTGATCTAAAATTGTACAGCTATATCAGAAATGATATGTATAATACTATCAAATTTAGGAGTAGGGGTTAAATTGACAATGTCTGCTGTCAAAACATCATTGTATGGCATACTTTATCATATTTATTGAGCTAATGTAAAAACTCGGACCCTTTATATACTTAAAACGATGTAACGTATTGTTTTAAGATAATTACTACAAAACAAACGTTAATCTATAATTTAAATTATGTATCAAAGACAACAAAACTATGTTCACTTTTGTCTGTAGTAAATACCAAAAACCCAGTTTGAGTCAACCAGTTTGTTTCCAATACCACACATTTTGAAATTTCACTAAATCGGGGATATGTTATTGTCTTTCAACCAAATCAATATTATGCCGATATGTATCAAAATTAAAAATGTATTTATAATGAAATAAGCAGATTGCAAGTGGCTCCCTAAGGATATACCTTCTTGCTCAGTGTCCAGAACAGCGGATTGCGCGACCTTTTCTCCTCTCTTGTAGTAATCCTCTAAAGTCTCATCAGTATTAATATCAAGGTCCACATATGGTTTGTAGCTAAATCAGAAGAAAATTAGTTAGCACACACACATACCTAAAATGATCATGAAAGTTGTTTATATAACCATTTCTGTCTGCTAATTTTACTGCTAAGCTAACAGCGTTGTTGCAATGGACAAACCAATTACAAAAAAAAAACACCTCAATTAATAAGACAACATTAAATTAAGTATTAATTGAAATAGTAAAAATGAACTTGGTGTTGAATATAATTTTAAAATAAGTGGACACCACTGTTTTAGAAGGCGAAAAACGAGCTACATTATTATTGATTTACCTGAGGTCCACATTATAGCCAGCGTTGTGAAGTTCCAAGGGCGTCATGAAAGGTGCCATGCCTTTCACATGCCACATCTTGTACTCAAAGAGACCTGGCTCCACCTTGATTTTTACCGATGGGTCTGCCTGTAAACCTAATTATATTATATCTTTATTAATGTAATAAAGCTGTAGTTTGTTTTTTGTAAGGAGCTAATCTTTGAGACAATCAGCTATAATTGAACCATTTTGTATTGGATAGTATTCTATGAGGAATTTTATGGATTACATACTATAACGCTACGACAAAAATGCAGGTGAAACCGCTGAGGACAGCTAGTTATTATATAATTAAACCATTGCTTATATAAGACATACCTCGACAGGTACCTTTAGTGGGCGAATTTAATACAGATATATTCAATTATTATTCATTTTTCTAAGGATTATTAACTCAGGTTCTACAAAGTATAAGTTCTATAAAAAAAAATTATGGCACTGCAAGGCACCAAACACGTCATCCATCATGCGATGCGCATAAATCATTATGCGATTTTAATGCGCGGTTTATATAAAAGTTAATGTTTCTGTTTTCTAAAAAGTCATCTTACTATGAGGCTTAAGATTCAAAACACCTCCGTGGATCCTCTAACAATAACGATTTACCTAATTAAGTTAGTACTGTACGAGATAGCTTTAAAATATAGGTAATAAGCATACGTTGAAATGAATAATTTTACAATACCTTCAAGGAACCCTTGCGCAGTGTCCACACACCTAAGGGCGGCGGACGCGTAAACATGTTTAACATCAATACCGGCAAGCCTTAATCCTTCGCCTACCAACTGAGCTTGCATTCGCCCAATACGCGTTAGCGGCGTGTCCTTTGCGTAGGACTCTTTACCACCTGCCCTGTATAGTAATTACAAAATAGGTTTATTTTATCATATTTTGTAAATTTAAAATACAACAAAATCAACGGCATCTTTATTACTCATCAATAAATAATTGTAATATCCATTTATATTATATGCAAATAATGATATTTAAATCTGATAGTTACTATAAAATGCTGTAGTTAACTATCTAGATATCGATTAAATGTCACCCCTATTGGCGGTAGTAAAACTGCATTGTGAGGCATTTTTAAATGTCATGTTTTTCATGGGATCTTAATACCTCTATAATTCGTAAATGTTTTTCTAAATAATTTTCTCTTATCTAAGCAGTTGTTATCTCATTTTATAAATATACTGTATATTACTTTATATTTTACCTTTTGCCTAATTTTAGAGGCATGTTCAAATCCATTCTTGTGTAAGTATCATTTTCGTCGAAACAATAAGGCACCCACTGGCCGTAAGTAAGGTCTACTCTCTCTCCATGACGCATCGCGAATACCCAACGACGACTATCGTCCTCTTGCAAAGATTTAGCCTGGAACCATATGCCAAATACCAAGGTATAAATTATAAAAAAAACTAATTTTCTACATTTAGTGGAGGAATACTTTCTATAAATCCAGAAGAAACTAAAAGCGATACCTACAAAAATAGGTAAAGTACCGCATACCATGCAAGCATGCATGCATGCCGTGTTAAGTGACTGGTGTCATTATGGATCTACTTAAACTGATTTTAGAAGAGGAAGAAGATGATGACCTTTTACTTCGATGTTACTCATTCGATTTTTTCAGTCCATCTTGTCTTGTCTTCCATGCTTAAATTATAAAGCAATGGATGTCGAGACACTAGTTTAATTATTTCTTCTTGTGTAAACGATTCAATAGATGCCATTTTATAGAAATTAACCTCAAAATACACGTGGGCGTCGGCGACACTACGAACATGAGCGTGGCAGTGACGCTGGCGTTTAACGTCACAGTTGCAGCTACACGGACGCGGCGTCAGTGTCGCTGTGCTCGAATTTCGTTCCCTACATTTACACAGTGTATTTATCGGCCGCTCTGTCATGACGTCACTAACGCGTTGCCACTGACGCTTGCTTCGAAAGCCTACCTTTAAGTGCACATGCCCCACCGAACTAGGGATTGGCGTGCAGAAACAACACTCACTCACGTAAAAGGCAACGAAAGAAATACCTAACACCGGTTTTTTGTGAGGCCGTAGTAATACTCTAGTCGCGCCAGCCATTTTGTGTAATTACTTTTCCTTTTTTAAGTCGGTTAATAATGACCAACCAAATACCCATCAGGCTAAAACATACAGTACTAAATATTTATGCTGGTGATTAAGCAATGATAAAATACGTAGTCTCTAAAATTACCTACATTAGTCATTACGTACGTCAGTGTTTGATATCTAAATGATAGCCTTATCACCCTTCTTGCGGGATTAGCTTTCTCATACCTGAGGCCCAGGCAAGTGTGCAGCAGCAGTGGCCAAGCCGTTTGGTTTTAGTCGTATTTTGGGCCTCGAATTCATGAAATTTTTATGTGTGTGGTATAACCCGTGTACTGAGTATTTAACTCAGAACACAGACTCACTCGCATTGCTCTTTACTAGGTACAGGAGACGAAGAGATAGTTCTTCCTCCGAGCTTTTTCTCAAACTATGTTGGGTTTGCTTTAAGTCTACTTCGATACAGCTGAACTTCGATTTTTTACGAGGAGCGACTTACCATCAGACCTCCACAACCCAAGCACTAGGCGATATCGAAGTTCTGTAGATAAACCGTTGTTGGACTTTTGAGGGCTCCAACTACCCGTAAGGATTGCCACAGATGTTCCTATGGCAACCGGGGCTTGTCATAATATGCAAACAGCCTATTTATTATTACGCACGCAAATTAGAAAAAGTAACAAAAATAATTTCGACACGAGCTTGGGTACAAAGTACATGCCCGTAGAATAATGTCAGGATCAATCGACATCGACATACATATGTCTATACTCGGTACTAAAAATTTTATCAGTGATGTAAATAGCAAGTCACAAGTGGGAAAAAACCCTGGTGTCTCGCACTTAACCGATATGAATCGAGAGCCATTAATAAAAGCAAGCCCTGTCAGAAGCCTCAGCCTCAAGCCTCAAGCCTTAGAACTATCTATACCTACTAACATATTAGTCGTATGAAGTGAAACTAAACGCGCTGTTTCATAATATTCACATATTCTGAGAATTCTGAGATTGAATATAAATAGTAAGTATCGAAATAGTCTCTTCGAATTTTAAAATAATATAACACTGTCAATTCCTAACTGATGAACAAATTGTCGCCTGCGATATTGCCGGACCGATACGACCTTCAAGAAAAAAATATACTACTTCCTGAAAGTCCCCCTGTATTGCAGGCTTTCATGGGCGGCGGTAATCACTTCCCGTCAGGTAACCCGTCAGCTCGTTTGCCTCCTATATCATAAAACAAAAACTTTGTCCATAGATTATCAAATCCGATTATTACTTTCGATAACTTACCGCATTATCTCCACTTCCTAACTCTGTTTTCAAAGCAGTGTCACTATCTGAAAAGAAGATAAACGAAGACATTTTGAAACGTTTTTTTAGCAAAACCTGTTTAGGTTTTTAGTAATAAAAAATTTACTGCCTCCATATTGGCCGATTGATCTGAAATTTGATACACACCTTTTGAGAGTTTAATGACCTTGTAACAGTTTTTTTTTGTACATTTGTAATGCGTACGGTCTTGTTAAAAGCTACATCTATTGGCCGCGTTGCATTGTTGTTGATTTATCTAAGGTAGTTTATAACTACAGTTTTGATCTTCTGTGTTCACTGATGTTAAATGTCAAAGTAAAATGTTGAAGAGGGGTTATTTTCTGGAAGCTTCGTTAACCGAAGATATATAAGTCCGGCTTTCTACCACGAGAGACACTCTGCTATCTCGTGTCTTCCAACCTTAAATAGTGTTTTGATTGTCGTGTAATTTGAATTTCGTAATATGTAGTCTGTTTGAAACTACCCACTAAAGTGGTAAGTATTGTCTAAATTCTTCTTAAACCTATTTGTTTCTGGAACCTGATTAATTATATGAGTGCTAATCCATTCGTAGGGTCCCAGATTTCGGGGTCAAGACGGTCAGTCTCAGACGGCGTGCTTGCTCTTTTGTGACCTTCTGGTACAGACTCAAGTTTCTCGGTACCCTCTGGCAAAGCTGGTGATTGCGTGGCTCACGACGCAAGCGGACAGCCGTACCCAAGAGTTACGTACTTAAACTTATAATTGTAAATTGTTAAACTTTTATCCATATCTAATATAAATAGCCGACTCGGGCGGAAGAGGAAGTAACCTCCTGGAGGGACGACGAGGAGGCACCGAGCACCATCAGCTCGGCTCTAACGCGCTCCGCTGCGGTTTTTTTTCTTTTTCTTGTACCCACACTGTTTAATTTATTTAATTTCTTATTGTAAATTTGATCTATTTTTTTTTGAAAAATACATGTATGTATAACTGAGGTGTAAGTTGTTTTCCTCTAAAGAGTCCCATAGGTTTCCCACACGCACACACTTCTATTCTCATACAAGGCGCCCTGAGGTAATCTCTTGAATCTCTCCACTGGGTCAGCCGGTGAGTAGTCCGCCAGAGAGGAAAAGCGGCTACAACCTTGCGCATTACTAATGCACAAGATCATTAAACTCTCAATTCTTCTGAATGAAAATATATTGACTAGATTATATAATTATAACCGTTCTTTGTTGTTATTCTATTATTGTTATCTTACTTTGCACACCATTTAATATACTGTGTATTTGATGTAATTATACCGAAATATAGCATGTCATCATGAGTCAGTACTCTTGATTTTCATACACATTGTAACATTTGTCTTATCTATGTAAACCTGTGTATAGAACAGTGACAGTCTCTGTTTAAGTAAGGACATATCGAGCTCTGTATATAAAGTATCGGGACACACCAGCGCCCGCAATTCACTGTAGGATAAGAACAACAAACTATCGTTGTCTATGTGACAAAGAAATTTCTTTTTAAATTACAGATTGATTAATATGGGTAAAATTAAGATAAGCATAAATCGCAATTTATTTATTAGTATAATTTTTAATAAATCGAAGCCATTGTGCTAAAATATTGTATTATTCCTTATTGACTATTAGCAATACAAATAATGTGATTATAATATAATGACATTAATGTGCACACATGTATGGATTTCCTATGTAGATTTAAATAATATTGTCAAATTAGAGTTAGAGTCAATTAAAACCTTTAAAGACCTTTACCTAGATAAGGCAGTTATGAAATATGAAGTAATCAGATAATTACAAGAAATATAATATGGATGGCACTTCCTTCTTAGTACTGGTTCAAAAAATGATACTGGATAAGGGGCTGCTTAGTTTGATGCATGTCATGGAACATACGCTATGTTTAAATTCGACTGTTGTGTCTCCATTATGACACTGCAGTTATTATTGCAATCTCAAAGGCTATGAGCGAAGCCATTTCGCTAAATAGTGACAGAATAGTTATCTTAATTTCTAGTAAAAGTTCTTTGCAGCATATGACTCAGTGCGACTCATATGACTCAGTATCAGAGGTGCACCGATAGCTTTTATAGTGCTAAAGCAAATCCGTGAATTAAATTCATCTGAGAAGTCTTTGAGTTTGCAATGGGTTCCTTCTCCGGGGTAACGAGCAGGCTGATTCTTTGGCTAAGGAGTGTATTACGCGATTAAAATGTCTTACTCGGAATACTTAAGCAACCAACATTAAAAAGCTATGTTATAGACATTACAAAGAATATTTTGATAAAAGAAGTAAGGAAAAGGGCATTTGGTATAAAACCATTAAACCTGCTAGGATGCTCTGGTTGACTAGTTATAAGTTACATAGAACTATTATTATTATAGCGCATAGGCTGCGCTCAGGCCACTATCCATCTAGAAAGTTTGATCATCTCATAAAGTATTGTGATCTTCGGAGTCCTTGATGATGTCCAACACTTGCTGATGGATTGTGTCACACACCGGCGTCAGAGGAACTCGTTGATGTGCAATTATAATCCTATTATGTACGATGTAGGACTATTTATTAGTATTCTAAGTAACCCTACTTCAAATGCGGCTTTAGACCTATTTGAGATATTTGCACAGCAACGACTCTGTCTCCTATCATAACATTTTAGGTTTATCATAAATTATGTATATTGTGTAGGTATATAAAACCAAATATAGTAATAAAAACCCTAAATAAATCAAGAGTAACAAAAAATGTTCACACAGAGTCCATAACTTACCCTGGTTTGTATTCATGATTCCTTCTTTCCCGCCGTTCACCAGAGTTTGCCAGTAATTTGCCCACTCTTTGAAATTTTCTTCAGACTTCTCGTGACCTAGCTGCGTCGCGCCTTCGTGTGGATAATTAGATGCCATCTCTTCGCCGGTGTTTGAATACGATTCTGACTGACAATCAGAACCTATTACGAAATAAAATAATATGAAAATTATAAAGCTCGGGAACCATGGAGCCATAGTGTGGCAGTGTGCAGTCGTGAAGTTATAATAACGACAAAAATGCATAGACCAGATACCGCCTTTATAAATACTCGCTATATTTGTAAATCATATCTGAAATTCGACACAAATAAAACAATTTATTGTTTGAGACAAAAGTACAGAAACAAACAAAGATTCTAACAGGTCAGAGGGCCTAGTGAGTTTTTTCTCATCAACTCGTTCTGGTTCTAGGCCCTCTGATCATTAAAATGTTTGACGTAAGTACTAATGGTAGGTTTCTTGACATAATACATTTATTATTATTGTATGTATTGACGTTTTGGGTAAAATTTGTTAATCGATTGAACGACCTGAACACAAATAAGCGGTTTAATATTCCCTCAATCCAAGAGCTGAAAGAAACTTACAAATCTAATTAACGTTCAATTGCACAAGTGTAGGTACACGTTGAGGAAAAAAAATAGAAGTTATTTTTATTGGTATAAAATTAAAGTATTTTGTTCATTGTTACCGATGTTATCCTGCATAGAAATGTTTAATTCAGAACCTTACATAGTGTTATTGTTACGAGCTAGGGTTCTTATAAAAAAATATATAAGAAAGAAAGACGTTTGTCGTTCTTAAATATATCAAAATTGTAATTTATACATACACGAAATAGACTATTTATTTCAATTGATCGCTAACAAAATACGCCATTGTAAAAGATTTCTCAATTATATTTACTTGACACTAATTGACCGTTCTATGTTCTTCGCACTTTTTTACTTGTTGAACTAAAATGTAATGTGTAATCGGGTGTGAACACACCGGAATTATACACCAGGCTTGTTTAATAGTTTCAGAAGGTTCGTGAACTCTGCCAGGAAATATCGTATTAAACCGACTAACTCGACACCCCTCTGGCAACTTATAAGAACATCGTGTAAAGTGAAACTTCTCCTTCAACATTCCATAAGTTCCACTACTACAACCTTAGGCGACAGCACTATTACCACTCCTTCCTCTCCTCCCTGCTCGTTCCGAGCATGATTATCAAAGTTTAACGCGTCAACTAATCCCAATTCCTAATCCCAACTAATTAGTTCTAATCCCGTAATGACGCCATTACAACCTACAATGCACCCGTACCAATCTTCAAGCATCTTTTAGTATTTATTTATTTTATTTAAGTATAATTCACTTTTGTGCACAATTGTAGTACGTAAACAACGATGCAAAACAAAGAAATTCAACCCCGTCTGAGAGTTGATAATACAGTAACAATATTGTTACAGCCACGTGACGTATAATATAAGCGTCATGCACGAACATTGCAGCTCTCAAAATCAGCGTAAACACTAAATAGGTACTTAATCGCGTAAAGAAAGGGAAAGAAAGTAAACGCCAACGGGTTACCTGTTAGAGGGAGATGAATACTAGGCATGCATTTTAAGTTCTGTCGTTTCCATATTTCCCGTCAATTTCGAATTTGGAACTGTTCTATATTCGAATGTGTTTAAATTTTGAATCTCAAAACAGTTGAAAGTATTAGGATTAATGCTATTGTTTAGTCACAGCGTCGATTGGAATCTGTCAGGTTACGTACGAAAATGAGTCTTTCTAAGGAAAATGTTCGTGCAATAATTTTCTACAACTTTAGAAGAGGCCTGACACGGCTTCAGTGTTTTGAAGAGCTAACATCTGTGTTCAGTGATGAAGCCCCATGTCTGAGGACTGTCGAACGCTGGTATTTAGAATTCCAGCGTGGACATACTAGTGTTAGTGACAAATCTCGCGAAGGACGCTCAAAATCCACCTTCACTGAAGATAACATCATTGCTGTGAGACAACTAATTCTCGAAGATCGTCATGTGACGTATCGAGAGATGGATACTCTATTAGGCATCTCAGGGACAAAAATTCAGAAGATCACAAGGCGGCCCGCGTCAGATTGTGTAAGAAAACTCTGCAAGGGTTCAACCGAGGAGGGTCAAATCACGTCTACGACATCATCAGTGGTGACGAATCTTGGATCTATGCCTACGATCCTGATTCCAAACAACAATCTACAATCTGGGTCTTTCAAGAAGAGCCAAAGCCGACTAAAGTTGTTCTCGAAGCACTTCAAAGAAGATGGTGGCCACGTTCGTTGAAAAAACCGGCCATGTTGCGACTATTGCACTTGAAGATCGTAGAACGGTTCACGCAGAGTGGTATACCACAGTTTGTTTACCACAAGTCATCGCCGAACTTCGAAAATCTAACTCAAAGCGACGCATCATCCTGCTTCACGACAACGCAAGCTCACACAGTGCTCGTCAAACGATTGAGTATTTGAAGCAGGAAAAAGTAGAAATTCTTGACCATCCTCCATACAGTCCTGACCTAAGCCTTAACAATTTCTTTACATTTCCTGAAATTAAGAAAAGTCTTCGTGGTCAAAGGTGTCAGTCCGGTGAAGAAGCAGTCGACGCTTTCAAGTCAGCCATTTTGAACACCCCCACTTTAGAGTGGAATAAATGTTATAATAACTGGTTTGAGCGAATGGAAAAGTGTATTAAGAGGGCGTATAAAGCAAAATTACCAATCTTATTTTTGATTTTACATGAAAAATTCCGGACCAAATCTTAAAATAAAAATGTGTGGATAACTACATGATATTTCCGAGGGTTCACATTGATCAAAAACATGAAATAATAACATTTCCTCGATAGAAAAAAATCACGAAGTAACCTCTAATTCTAATATTTTTCCGTTTTGTACTCGATATGGTAATGCCTATTGCGACAAAAATTTGATAATTAATTATACTTTTACAAGAGTAAAGGCTTTGTTTAGGCATTTTATGTAATTCCTTTTAGTTTTGGATATATTTGGATATAACAGTTTTGGCGCATACTACGTTTTTATTCCGCGCAAGAATTCATCGTCCGTCGCACGTTGCGGGAGCTTCAAGCATATTTCTATTTCAGACATCAGTCGCTACCGCTCCGTTGAGACGAGAGGACTGCGCTCAAGTGTTTAGGCGCGCCGAGTTATTATCAATTCAATTATTAGATTATTAGGATAGGAGGTAATAAATTAGATAAATAATAGGTAGCTATTTACTTTTGCTTTTTGTTATGATATCTTCCAAAAGTCTAGATAGACGTATGGACTACATAATGATCTTGGGAGTATTCTATAAAAATATTAAAATAATAATAATTACATTCTCCATAAGTCTATGATCACTCATAAGTAACGCGGGCAGTATAGTTTGGACACCAACTAAAAGCTTGTGTTTATTTTGCATATACTATATATGCAAAATAAACACAAGCTTTTAGTTGGTGTCTGTCTTTGTTCGATGAAATATATTTATGTCGATTTCGAAGCTATTTAAGTATGTCCATTAGGTATTTAAAACCTATTTTTAACCGACTTCCAAAAGAAGGAGGTTATCAATTCGACTATTATGTTTCTTTTGTGTGTGTTTGTTACGGGATTACTCCATTTATTTTTATTGTTCTTTTTTTATTTGAAAAATTATACTCCTGAGGTGGTCCCATTTAAATTTGGTGAAGATCTGATGCTGGTCTTCGGAGATATACAATGGAACTCTTCAAAAATAGACGTTAAATCGGTCGTGATGGCTGCAATCGCTTGGATGTTTATATGCTTGTCAAATATTTTTATAGGATATTACAAATAAAAATGGAAAAATAAAAAAAACTTTTTTGCAAAAAAAAAAACCGACATCAAAATAAACACAAATCGAACACAAAAAGAAAAACACTAAAAAGTGAAAAATAACTTTAGCTTCAGAAGCCGGTGACAAAAATACCAAATCAATCAAACAAAGGTCAAGCTTCAGAAGCCGGTGACAAAAACACCACATCAATCAAACAAAGGTCAAGCTTCGAAGTCGATGGTTGTGGGCTTCGGTTTCCGCATTTAGACTCAGAGTGGTCCTTTATGCGTCGAGGATTGGTTGACTAGGTGAGCCAGCCAAGCTCCTTCCAGAAGCGCAGAAGCCTCCTGGGGCGTTCACAGGCTTCTAGGAGCGACTTTATATCATGAATGATACTTGCCCGTTGTGTGGCCACTCCCTCGCATTCCAGGACTACGTGGACGGCCGTTTCTTCAGCTTCCAGACATTCCCTGCACAGGGCAGTCCTTCGCATTGATTATGAATAGTTGTCGGTTCAGGGCTAGATGTCCTGTAATAGTTCCGACAACCATTCTGATTTCCGGTCTGCTAAGACTGATCAGTCTGCATGTGAGTCGTGGTGTGACTTGATTCAGCACCAGTTTGGACTGTCTGCAGCCGGGTGAGTTTTTCCACCTCCGGTTGTGTGCTTCACAGGTCCGTTGCCTGACACAGCATCGTATTTGGTTAAACGATATAGGCAGGAGTGGGGTTGGGCCAGAGGTTGGGGTTGCCGAGCCCCTCCTTGCCAACTCATCTGCGGCATCGTTCCCGTGTGAGTTACTGTGCCTTTTAATCCATTGGAGGAGTACCCCATTGAATATAGCGAGCTGTTCCAGTGCTTGGCATTCGAAGACAATACCAGAGGTCATTGTGTTGCCCTCCAATGCCTTTAAGACGGCCATGCTGTCGGATATTATTCGGATGTTGTAGTCCTTGATACCCCTTGACATGGCCGTTGTGGCAGCGTAAGTTATTGCCACACATTGAAATATGGAAATGTGTTGGCGTAACGCTAGTGATATGTTTATATTTAGGTCTTGCGAGAAAACTCCTCCAGTTCCTGACCTAGTCTTGGAACCGTCCGTGTAAATTCGAACTTCGTTAATGCTGGATTGATCTCGGTCATTTCCATGTATCTGGATGTAGTATCTTCTTGTGAAGATATGGTGTTTTGGGATTCTATCGCATGGAGCTGCTATCAGTGGTTCGTATTCCACCAATTGATCCCATAATTTGGAGTGCGATCCCTCACTTTTGTGCCATAGACCCAGGTGTTTGAGTCTA